TAGGTATAGAGGGTAGGAAAACTCAGATTATGTTGCAAACTATGAGTCAGAAAAAGTCCAGTTCAGTGCTACACAGTGACAGGGTTGGTAGTGACAGATTTGAAGGGTGACAACTGTGTGAAGTTACCTAAACTATATACTCAGAAGGAGATTCCAGTCACCAGAAATGATGCATTTGATTGGAAAGCTTTTGAGTAAGTGGTCTTACTTTAGAGGAAGTTACATTGCCACAGATTGATGCTGAAGTACAGTTGTTGATAGAAAGTAATGTTCCCATTGCTCTAGAACCATGGCAGATCATAAACTCTCAGCAAGGTGGACCTTATGCAGTCACGGACTCTGTTAGGGTGGATTGTCAGTGGTGAATGTGGCAACATTGATGGGTGTCTGACAAGAGTATCAGTGAACAGAATTGGTGTGATGGAAAATTTAGAGAAACAGTTAGTCAGCCAGTACAACCATGATTTCAGTGAAAGACTTGTAGATGACAAGCCTGAGATGTCTAAGAATGACAAACTCTTTATGGACATTATGAACTCTGCTGAGCTTGTTGATGGACATTATGAAATCCCTTGCCATTTAAGTCATCATCCTGAAACCTTACCCAGCAACAGAACACATGCAGAATACAGGGCAGAGCAGTTAAAGAAGAAGTTTCTGCGAAGTGAATCATTTCACAAAGGACTATACAGCATTCATGACTGATTTGTTGAAGAAAGGCTATGCACAGAAAGTACTGACAGATGACAGTCATCATACAGAGAAGACATGGTATGTACCACATCATGGTATTTATCATCCTCAAAAACCAGGCAAAATTAGGTGTGGTTTATGATTGTTCTGCAGCTATCAGGGAACTTCATTAAATGACCAGTTGCTAAAGGGGCGGGGATATGACTAGTTCTTTGCTAGGAGTCCTATTGAGGTTTAGTCAAGAACCAGTTCGCGTTAATGTCTGATATTGAGGCAATGTTTTACCAGGTGAAGGTGCCTTAAGTGATCGCGAGTGTCTTTAGCTTTTGTGGTGGGCAGATGGTGACATCACAAGAGATTTAGAGGAATATGAGATGACAGTACATATCTTTGGTGCTGTGTCAAGTCCAAGTTGTTGCTAACTATGCTCAGATTGACAGGGAAAGATAACTCAGCATATTTTGATAAAGGATTAACTGATAGCATCAGAAGAAACTTTATGTTGATGATTGCCTAAAGTCTGTGAAAACAGACATAGATGCCATTAACTTTGTAGCAGACATAAGTGATGTTTGTTCAAGAGGAGGTTTTCATCTCACTAAATGGGTGAGTAACAGTCGGTTGGTTCTAGAGACAGTACCTGAACAGGAAAGAGCAGTAAAAAATCAAGGATTTAGACTTGGACCAAGACAAGTTGCCAATGGAAAGACATTAGGACTCGGATGGTGCATTGAATCGGATCAGTTTGTGTTCAAGATCTTGATAAAAGACAAACCAGCAACCAGAAGGGCATTCTTTCCATTACCAGTTCAGTCTATGACCCAATGGGCTTTGTAGCTCCAGTTATCTTACCAGCTAAACAATTATTGCAGGACTTATGCAGGATAAAATGTGGTTGGGATGATGCAATTCCAGACAAGTATCTCTCGTGCTGGAAGAAATGGCTTGTAGAATTGCCACAACTGGAGTACACTTCATTTGACAGATGCATGAAGCCAAATTGGTTTGGAAGGGTTGTTATTTCACAGCTTCACCATTTCTGTGATGCGAAAGTGAAACTGGGTATGGAGTAGTGACCTATTTGAGACTTGTCAAGTGAAACAGGAGACATTCATTGTTCATTTATATTGAGCAAGTCCAGAGTAGCCCCTCTCAAGCAAATAACCATTCCACGGATGGAGTTAACTGCAGCTACAGTGGCAATTCGAGTTGATAATCTGCTCAAAGAGAACTGGAGATTGCTATTGATGACAGTTTTTTATTGGACGACAGTATGTCTGTAATAAGATACATTGAGAATGTCAACTCAAGATTTCACACTTTTGCCCAGCAAACAGACTTTCAGTTATCCATGATGGCTCATCTCCCACAGCAGTGGCATTATATTGACTTCGAAGCTAAACCCAGCTGATGATGCTTCACGGGGACTCGGTGAAAGATTTCATGAAGAGTGACCCGATGGAAAAGTGGTCCTGAATTCTTGTGGCATCAGCAAGATGAATGGCCAGTGGTTGTTGTGAACCGTGAGATTCCAGGCAGCGATTCAGAAGTGAAATGGAAAACTGTAAATACAGTAAAACTCACAGATGCTAGCGACACAGTTATGACATTGTTTCATCATTTCTCACAGTGGTACAGACTGAAACGTGCAGTGGCATGGATTTTACAAAGTGAGGAGAAACTTGAGGGACAAAGTCAAGGGGAACAATACAGATCTGCAACAGAAGCGTTCAGACATTGAATTAACATTGCAGGACATGGTTGATGCAGAGACTTCAATTGTTCAGTTTGTACAGAGACTTGCATTTGCACATGAAATTCACATCATTGAGAACTCTAAGGCTGGACTTTGTAAAGTCAAGTAAGCTATACAAGCTTGATCCCATTGTAGAAGATAACCTGTTGAAGGTTGGTGGTGGGCTTGACAGAGCATGTATGTCTGAACATACCAAACATCCAGTGATACTGCCTAAAGACAGCAATATTTCAGAGATGATAGTTAGGAATATTCATGAATCTTCAGGGCATGTTGGCAGGAATCATGTATTGTACAAGTTACTCAGTAAGTACTGGATTCTTGGAGCTACCTCTTTAATCAAGAGAGAGTGATACACAGATGTGTTACATGTAGAAGACATCATGCTGGTGTTCTGGAACAGAAGATGGCTGATCTTCCCAGAGATAGTGTTACCCCAAATGATCCTCCATTTACATTTGTAGGGCCGGATTATTTTGGTCCCTTTGAAGTTAAGCGTGGTCGTGCCTGCGGTCAAAAGGTATGGAGTAATTTTCACCTGTTTGACTACTACAATGCAGTTCATATCGAGGTTAGCACGACTTCGCTGATACCAGTTCATGTATCAACGCCTTGAGAAGATTTGTAGCAAGGAGAGGTCAGATTCAGCAAATCAGGTCAGATAATGGTACCAATCTGAAAGGCACAGAGAGGGAACTCTCGAGGCAATAAAGCATTGGAATCAATCTACCATTAAGAGAAGTATGATACAGAAGAATGTTGAATGGATATTCAATCCCCTACTGGATCACATCATGGCGGAATCTGGGAGCGACGAGATACGTGAGTGTCCGGGAAGATACTTTTTCAGTTCTCAAGGATCAGCCTGTAGGTGATGAGGAATTACACACAGTGCTGTGTGAAGTAGAAGCCATAGTTAACAGTCGGCCAATTTCAAGAGTTTCGATGATCCAAGTGATTTAGATGCGTTGACACCAAATCACCTGCTATTGTTAAAAAGGTAAGCCGAACCTACCTCCTGGAATATTTTCTGAGAGCGATCGCACATTACGTCGCCGCGATGGAGACAAATCAATACTTAGCAGATCTCTTTTTGGAAGAGGTGGTCTCCGAGTATCTTACGTCGTTACAGGTACGACAAAAGTGGTCAAAGCTCCGCCGCATAATATTCATGTTGGAGATGTAGTTCTCATCGTCGATGAAGCAGCACCTAGAAATTCATGGCTTATGGCAAAAATTGAGAAAGTTTATCCTGATCACAAAGGGTTTGTGCGCAGTGTTGAAGCCAAAACAAAGTCAGGTGTTTTGAACAGACCAATTTCAAAGTTGTGTTTACTGCTTGAAGGTGAATGTTGACAATGTCAGTTTTCAGTTCTACTGCTGAGCTAGTGTGACAATATCAGTTTTCAGTTCTACTGCTGAGCTAGTGTAGAGAAGTGTACATTTGATAATTTACTTAACCAGTGGATATTTTAGGTTTATTATGCAACCATAATGTGTGTATGAGTGTGTATGTGAGTGATTCACATTCTCAGAGCTATTTGATGCAGTTATAAAGTTATGTTCAGTTTTAATGTATCAGTTTATGTGAAACTGAATATGTTTCAGATCGTTTGACGCAGAGTATATTAGTATTGTAATTGTTACTTGTAACAATTAAGGGGCCGGAATGTTGCGGTCAAATGCTTGAGCTATATTTAGATTGAGATCATGTGATCTAGGGTAAGTCACATGACTGTAAACAGGGGAGATAACTTGGGAACAGAAGCATGCAAGGGACAGTTTCAGTGTGGAGTTCAGTGTTGCAATACGGTTTTTCAACCGGCAACAGCAGAAGTAACAGAAAACAGTGTACACAGATAAAACACAGAATAAAGTTTGCTGTGTTGGAACCGTGGGAGTTGTTAATATATATGTACAGACATTTGCAGCGGTGACATGACATGACAGAATTGGCAGTTGCTAATGCTCAGGTAGAAGCAATTGAGGAATTGGAGATTACAGACAGTGTGAGTAAAATGAATCGAAAAGAACAGTTGAACATGTTTAAGAGTGGTAAATCTATTCCTCCATCAGTACTATGTCCCAATAGCCAGACTTGTGTACCGATAGTGCCTCAGACACAATTGTTTGAAGATGTTCCACAGAATACTGAAAATGCCACCATGAAGATGGTCATTAAGAATCAGCGATTAGCTACATTACCAGAGCGTAAAGTTCCTGTGTTCAGAGGGAGATCCTTTGGATTTTAAGACATTCATCATGGCATTTGAACATTGCATAGAAAGTAAGACAGACAGTTTCAAAGATAGACTTTATTATCTGGAACAATATACAAGTGGAATGCCAGGGGAATTGGTGCGTAGCTGTATTCACATGGAGCCTGAGCAAGGCTACGAGAGCTAAACAGCTGCTTCAGACCAAGTTTGGAAATAAGTTTAAAGTAGCTACAGCATACACAGAGAAAGCTCTACAGTGGCCGCATATAAAAGCTGAAGACAGTGATGAACTGAACAGATATTCATTGTATCTGCTTGAGTGTTACAACAGTATGGCAGACATTGAGTATTTGAAGGAGCTAGAACACCCCCAAAACATGAAAATTATCATTTCCAAATTGCCTTACAAGATGCGGGACAGATGGCGTAGTCTTGTGTTCACTATTCAGGTGAAAAAGGACAAAAAAGTAACTTTCCAAGATTTAGTTACCTTTGTTGAAGAACAGGCACAGATATTGGCCGATCCATTGTAATGCGGTAACATTGAGGATGGGAGACAAGTGCCACCACGAGTTAACAGACAGAGACAAAACAAGATGAAAGGAACCAGAGGCAGTAACTTTGCAACTAACATCGAAACACCAGACAGAACAATTGTTGACAAGATGAAATATAGAGACATCCAAGTGCCTAGCAGACAGTGGATAAATACAGCAGTGTGTTCCTTTTGTGGGGAACAGCATGTTTTGAACTTGTGTAAGAAACTGCGGAATAAGCCATATCCTGAAAAGCTTGACTTTCTCAAATTAAAATCTTTGTGCTTTGGATGTTTATCCCCAGGGCATTTGAGTAAACATTGTACTAACAGACTGAAATGCAATGTGTGTGAACGCATGCATGCAACTGTTTTGCATTCTCAGTTTTATGACAAAGACAGTATTGCATTCAAGGTTAATGCTAAAGACACTAAAACAGATGTGAAGGTTGCTTGTAATAACTGTGTGACATATGGTTGTGGTAGTGGAACAAGTGACTCTTTGCCTATTGTGCCTGTCAGGGTGATTTTGGAGAATAGTGATAGGTGTTATGAAACCTATGCATTCCTTGATTATGGAAGCTCTGCTTCATTTTGTACAGAAAGCCTGATGAGAGATTTAGGTATAGAGGGTAGGAAAACTCAGATTATGTTGCAAACTATGAGTCAGAAAAAGTCAGTTCAGTGCTACACAGTGACAGGGTTGGTAGTGACAGATTTGAAGGGTGACAACTGTGTGAAGTTACCTAAACTATATACTCAGAAGGAGATTCCAGTCACCAGAAATGATGCATTTGATTGGAAAGCTTTGAGTAAGTGGTCTTACTTAGAGGAAGTTACATTGCCACAGATTGATGCTGAAGTACAGTTGTTGATAGGAAGTAATGTTCCCATTGCTCTAGAACCATGGCAGATCATAAACTCTCAGCAAGGTGGACCTTATGCAGTACGGACTCTGTTGGGGTGGATTGTCAGTGGTGAATGTGGCAACATTGATGGGTGTCTGACAAGAGTATCAGTGAACAGAATTGGTGTGATGGAAAATTTAGAGAAACAGTTAGTCAGCCAGTACAACCATGATTTCAGTGAAAGACTTGTAGATGACAAGCCTGAGATGTCTAAGAATGACAAACTCTTTATGGACATTATGAACTCTGCTGAGCTTGTTGATGGACATTATGAAATCCCTTTGCCATTTAAGTCATCATCTGAAACCTTACCCAGCAACAGAACACATGCAGAATACAGGGCAGAGCAGTTAAAGAAGAAGTTTCTCTTGAAGTGAATCATTTCACAAGGACTATACAGCATTCATGACTGATTTGTTGAAGAAAGGCTATGCACAGAAAGTACTGACAGATGACAGTCATCATACAGAGAAGACATGGTATGTACCACATCATGGTATTTATCATCCTCAAAAACCAGGCAAAATTCGTGTGGTTTATGATTGTTCTGCACGCTATCAGGGAACTTCATTACATGACCAGTTGCTAAAGGGGCGGATATGACTAGTTCTTTGCTAGGAGTCCTATTGAGGTTTCGTCAAGAACCAGTTCGTTAATGTCTGATGTTGAGGCAATGTTTTACCAGGTGAAGGTGCCGCCAAGTGATCGCAGTGTCTTAAGCTTTTGTGGTGGGCAGATGGTGACATCACAAGAGATTTAGAGGAATATGAGATGACAGTACATATCTTTGGTGCTGTGTCAAGTCCAAGTTGTGCTAACTATGCTTCCAGATTGACAGGGAAAGATAACTCAGCATATTTTGATAAAGGATTAACTGATAGCATCAGAAGAAACTTTTATGTTGATGATTGCCTAAAGTCTGTGAAAACAGACATAGATGCCATTAACTTTGTAGCAGACATAAGTGATGTTTGTTCAAGAGGAGGTTTTCATCTCACTAAATGGGTGAGTAACAGTCGGTTGGTTCTAGAGACAGTACCTGAACAGGAAAGAGCAGTAAAAATCAAGGATTTAGACTTGGACCAAGACAAGTTACCAATGGAAAGAGCATTAGGACTCGGATGGTGCATTGAATCGGATCAGTTTGTGTTCAAGATCTTGATAAAAGACAAACCAGCAACCAGAAGGGCATTCTTTCCATTACCAGTTCAGTCTATGACCCAATGGGCTTTGTAGCTCCAGTTATCTTACCAGCTAAACAATTATTGCAGGACTTATGCAGGATAAAATGTGGTTGGGATGATGCAATTCCAGACAAGTATCTCTCGTGCTGGAAGAAATGGCTTGTAGAATTGCCACAACTGGAGTACACTTCATTTGACAGATGCATGAAGCCAAATTGGTTTGGAAGGGTTGTTATTTCACAGCTTCACCATTTCTGTGATGCGAGTGAAACTGGGTATGGAGTAGTGACCTATTTGAGACTTGTCAGTGAAACAGGAGACATTCATTGTTCATTTATATTGAGCAAGTCCAGAGTAGCCCCTCTCAAGCAAATAACCATTCCACGGATGGAGTTAACTGCAGCTACAGTGGCAATTCGAGTTGATAATCTGCTCAAAAGAGAACTGGAGATTGCTATTGATGACAGTTTTTATTGGACAGACAGTATGTCTGTAATAAGATACATTGAGAATGTCAACTCAAGATTTCACACTTTTGTAGCAAACAGACTTTCAGTTATCCATGATGGCTCATCTCCACAGCAGTGGCATTATATTGACTCGAAGCTAAACCCAGCTGATGATGCTTCACGGGGACTCTCGGTGAAAGATTTCATGAAGAGTGACCCGATGGAAAAGTGGTCCTGAATTCTTGTGGCATCAGCAAGATGAATGGCCAGTGGTTGTTGTGAACCGTGAGATTCCAGGCAACGATTCAGAAGTGAAATGGAAAACTGTAAATACAGTAAAACTCACAGATGCTAGCGACACAGTTATGACATTGTTTCATCATTTCTCACAGTGGTACAGACTGAAGCGTGCAGTGGCATGGATTTTACACAGTGAGGAGAAACTTGAGGGACAAAGTCAAGGGGAACAATACAGATCTGCAACAGAAGCGTTCAGACATTGAATTAACATTGCAGGACATGGTTGATGCAGAGACTTCAATTGTTCAGTTTGTACAGAGACTTGCATTTGCACATGAAATTCACATCATTGAGAACTCTAAGGCTGGACTTTGTAAGTCAAGTAAGCTATACAAGCTTGATCCCATTGTAGAAGATAACCTGTTGAAGGTTGGTGGTGCTTGACAGAGCATGTATGTCTGAACATACCAAACATCCAGTGATACTGCCTAAAGACAGCAATATTTCAGAGATGATAGTTAGGAATATTCATGAATCTTCAGGGCATGTTGGCAGGAATCATGTATTGTACAAGTTACTCAGTAAGTACTGGATTCTTGGAGCTACCTCTTTAATCAAAGAGTGATACACAGATGTGTTACATGTAGAAGACATCATGCTGGTGTTCTGGAACAGAAGATGGCTGATCTTCCCAGAGATCGTGTTACCCCAAATGATCCTCCATTTACATTTGTAGGGCCGGATTATTTTGGTCCCTTTGAAGTTAAGCGTGGTCGTGTGCCTCGGTCAAAAGGTATGGAGTAATTTTCACCTGTTTGACTACCGCGTGCAGTTCATATCGAGGTTAGCGCTTCAGCTTGATACCAGTTCATGTATCAGCCTTTGAGAAGATTTGTAGCAAGGAGAGGTCAGATTCAGCAAATCAGGTCAGATAATGGTACCAATCTGAAAGGCACAGAGAGGAACTTCGAGGCAATAAAGCATTGGAATCAATCTACCATTAAGAGAAGTATGATACAGAAGAATGTTGAATGGATATTCAATCCCCTACTGGATCACATCATGGCGGAATCTGGGAGCGACAGATCGTAGTGTCGGGAAGATACTTTTTCAGTTCTCAAGGATCAGCCTGTAGGTGATGAGGAATTACACACAGTGCTGTGTGAAGTAGAAGCCATAGTTAACAGTCGGCCAATTTCAAGAGTTTCGGATGATCCAAGTGATTTAGATGCGTTGACACCAAATCACCTGCTATTATTAAAAGGTAAGCCGAACCTACCTCCTGAATATTTTCTGAGAGCGTCGTACCGTCGTCGATGGAGACAAATCAATACCTAGCAGATCTCTTTTGGAAGAGGTGGTCTCGAGTATCTTACGTCGTTACAGATGCGACAAAAAGTGGTCAAAGCTCCGCCGCAATATTCATGTTGGAGATGTAGTTCTCATCGTAGATGAAGCAGCACCTAGAAATTCATGGCTTATGGCAAAAATTGAGAAAGTTTATCCTGATCACAAAGGGTTTGTGCGCAGTGTTGAAGCCAAAACAAAGTCAGGTGTTTTGAACAGACCAATTTCAAAGTTGTGTTTACTGCTTGAAGGTGAATGTTGACAATGTCAGTTTTCAGTTCTACTGCTGAGCTAGTGTGACAATATCAGTTTTCAGTTCTACTGCTGAGCTAGTGTGACAATATCAGTTTTCAGTTCTACTGCTGAGCTAGTGTAGAGAAGTGTACATTTGATAATTTACTTAACCTGTGGATATTTTAGGTTTATTATGCAACCATAATGTGTGTATGAGTGTGTGTATGTGATTGATTCATATTCTCAGAGCTATTTGATGCAGTTATAAAGTTATGTTCAGTTTAAATGTATCAGTTTATGGGAAACTGAATATGTTTCAGATCGTTGGACGCAGAGTATATTAGTATTGTAATTGTTACTTGTAACAATTAAGGGGCCGGAATGTTGCGGTCAAATGCTTGAGCTATATTTAGATTGAGATCATGTGATCTAGGGTAAGTCACATGACTGTAAACAGGGGAGATAACTTGGGAACAGAAGCATGCAAGGGACAGTTTCAGTGTGGAGTTCAGTGTTGCAATACGGTTTTTCAACCGGCAACAGCAGAAGTAACAGAAAACAGTGTACACAGATAAAACACAGAATAAAGTTTGCTGTGTTGGAACCGTGGGAGTTGTTAATATATATGTACAGACATTTGCAGCGGTGACAGGAAGGTTCTTCCCTTCGGAATCACATCGGCCCCTTGGGTATTCACAAGAGTGACCAAGCCTATTGTCTCATACCTACATCGTCAAGGTCTTCGCAGCGCTTTTTACCTAGACGACGGTATACAAGTGGATCCAGATCCACAGCGTCTCAGACTACAGCTGAATTTTATAATCAAGCTACTAACACAATTAGGATGGTTAGTAAATCTACTCAAGTCGGACCTAGAACCAACGCAAGATCTGCAATTTCTAGGTATACGATTTCTAACAGCTCAGAATCGTATTGTAGTCCCGGAGGACAGATGGATCAAGATCCAACAACTTATTCCTCAAGCCCTACTCTCTCTGTTACCACTACGACAGTGGCAGAGCCTATTGGGACTACTCACATCAGCTCAAGACTTGACAGTCAGAGGCAGGCTTCAATTACGTCCGTTACAAGTCCTCATCAATGCTCATCTCGAGGACCCTCTACCATTCAGTCTACCAGATTATGTCAAACCACATCTACTCTGGTGGACCAAGAGATTGAATGTTTGCGCAGGCGTCTCCTTAGTAGAGCCGGAATCGAACACACATCTCTACGTAGACGCGTCACTACAAGGTTGGGGAGCCCACCTTGCTGGCAGGACAGCGTCAGGCCTATGGAGCAATCAAGAGAGCAAATGTCACATAAATCTGCTAGAGATGCAAGCAGTCATAAACGCCATAAGTCACTGGAGCAACATACTACAGAACGCTCAGTTGATGGTTCACACAGACAATTCAACAGTGGCGTTTTATGTGTGAACAAACAAGGTTCAACAAGGTCACAGAACCTACTGACTCGATGTTTCAGACTGTTCGATTTAATCGACAATCTAAACATACACGTCAGAGCTTGCCACATTCCAGGAGCAAAGAATGTATTAGCAGACGCTCTCTCTCGGCCACACCAACCGTCGCCGACAGAATGGATGCTCCACACAGAGATATTCAATCAAATAATCATGGAAATAGGATCTCCACTGATAGACCTATTAAGCCACTCGATTCAACAAGCAACTGACAACATTACGTGTCGCCAGTGCCAGATCCACTAGCATGGGCAGCGGGCGCTAAGCATATCGTGGGAGAGACTCAGCGCGTGCGGCTTTCCGCCTCCAGCGTTGATCCCACAAGTCTTACAGAAAATCAGTCAAGCGCCAGAGCCTCCATCTGATTTTAATCGGGCCCTACTGGCCAGCAAGAACTTGGTTTCCAGATCTCATTCAAGTAATGGGAAAACCAATTCTTCAGCTCCCACAATGCGCCAATCTATTGATACATCCGCACACCAAACAAGTGCACGAAACACCAGAAGCATTCCAACTTCACGTATGGATTGTATCAAGGCATGTCTGAATAAGAGAGGTTATTCTGCCAGAGCGGCTAAAGCGGTCACGCTTGCACTACGTAACTCAACTCGTAACTTGTACGATGACAAATGGCACAATTCTGTCAATTACGCTGCTAAGAAAGGATTTACAGCCAGATATGCTACACATCCTCAAGTGGCAGATTTCTTATGTTATCTACGGCAAACTAAGAATCTAAAAGGCTCAACCTTGTCCACTTATCTTGCAGCCATAAGTTCTGTCATAACTATGCGAACGGGCGTCAAGTTAACAAAAACACCAGAGTTACTCGCTTTGTTACGAGCGTTCCGATTGGAGGATCAGAAACGGAAGTTTCACGCTCCAGCCTGGGATCTAAATATAGTGCTCACTAGTGAGGCTTATGAACCATTGCTATCTACATCGTTTGAATCACTGACCCACAAAACCTTATTCCTGTTAGCACTAGCTACGGCCGCCAGGATGTCAGAGATTCACGCATTGGATTACGAGAGAACACACTTTGATGATATTCATAACATCGCTCATCTGGGACTTCGCTGGGATTTTATAGCGAAAAACCAACTGCCAGGTCAACCAGACAGATTATTCCACGTCCCAGCTCTCTCATCCATACTTGGACCGCATGATACGATGGATCTATCACTATGCCCAGTGAGGGCACTGAAAATATATCTCCAACGATCCAAACAGAGTAGAGGGAAATTCAAGAGATTATTTATCCCTATATCTACAGCTACGCATGAGCGGAAGTCTCACGCGTACTCGATCTCTATCTGGATCAGAACTGTCATACTACGTGCCTACAAGGCTGCAGGACTCGACCCTCCAAGAGCTTCTAATCCTCACGAAATTAGAGCGCTAGCCTCAACTCTCGCTCTACATGGGAATTGCTTGTTGAATACCATAATGGAGGGATGTTTCTGGAGATCCGATATGGTGTTTGCCAACCACTATCTGAGAGACATCACCACCGAGGGCGTCTCAGGTATCCACCATTTAGGTCCCATGGTCCTCGCTCAACAGTTGACAGTTCCACGGAGAAGATAAGTCTATCTTACAGATTTTATACTTATCTGATAACAGTACTAATAGCTACATACTATCTATATATTTTGCTTAAGTTTAATTTATTATCTTAAGCTCAGTACTATGGTTTTATATCATACTATATATAAGCTTACAACTCCTAGGGTTTTGCTACTATATATATGTTCAGCTTAAGTTTCATCAATCCTTAAAGCTCAGTCATATGGTCATATGCATAAATGTATTAGCTAACAAACTCTAAGGAGTTGGTTACTATTATACAGCTTAAGTTATAATTATATCTTAAGCACAGTACTATACTATTATAGCTTAAATATATGCATATCTTAAGCTTAATACTTTGGTTAATTTATAAAAGTATCCACTATAAACTCACAGAAGTTTATATTATCACATTAATAGCTTCAGCTTACATTAATGTTGTATATACTTTTATCATATTCAATAAATTGTAATAACCTTTATATGGCAGCTGATAAGTTAAACAGCAGGAATTCATCAGTTCAGTGCCTTTATGAAGTTCCCATAGGGTTATTACAATCATCACAGTTCAAATCACTAATTATTAAAATCCAAAGTATATATATTCCCACCTCCTTTTCCGTCGGATTCTACAAGCAATAAGCATGAGTCAGGATAAGGAAAAATATGAATTTTTTAGAGTAAAAGTAATATTTTATACTTATCCTGACTCATGAGGTAAGCCCTCCTGTCCTCCCCACTTAACACTTTGGATTTCTTCGGAAACATAAAGTGTCGGGCTCAAAACAAAAGGAGAGAGTGAGGCACATGGGTTCAGGTGGCGCCCTCGTTCCCGCGCTTGTGGAAGGGAGGTAACTCGTGGTGAGTACTAATTAGTGATTTTTTAATTGAAGGGAACTTCAATTGGGAGATACACGTGTTCCACTATGTTCACAAGAAGAAGAAGACAAGCAATAAGCAATAAGCATGAGTCAGGATAAGTATAAAATATCAATTTTACTCTAAAAATTACATTTTTTCTGTTAACTGCTAAATCCATGATCATTAAATAAGAGTATTGTTAACAATTAACCTTGCTTTACATAGAAATGAAAATAGTAATTGTGAAGTCATTGGTAGCAAATTGTAAACCATTGCAACAAACAAACAAACAAACAAACAAACAAACAAAATCGTTCAAGAATAAATATTATATGCATGTTTGCATTTCTCAGAAAACTGAAGAAAGATGTGGAATGCATAAAGTCTGGACAATACGATGATCGGCTGACGGAGATGTGGGAACAGATGCAGGCGTACGTTGATTATGTTCATGTCAGCTATTTCCTGTTCATATTGTATTGTTTGGGACCTGTGAAGATCTGGGTCAGAGTTGATCTTCAGTAACCCATGCTTGTCATAAGAGGCGAGTAACGGGATCGGGTGGTCTGGCTTGCTGACTTGGTTGACACATCCTAATAGTGTAGATTAATGCTCATGCTGTTGATCACTGGATTGTCTGGTCTAGACTCGATTATTTACATACCTCCACCATAGAGCTGGAATATTGCTGAGGACGGCGTAAAACTAAACTCACTCACTCACTCATGTTGTGAGGTGCGTGAGAGGGAAGCATGGGTATCAGGCGATGTAATTGAGATGTTGTTGTCAGTTGGTTGATGTTTCTAATGATGTTGGCAGGTGTGTGACTGGGTGTACATGTCAGCATGGATTTATGTTATTAGGACTGACTGGGATGCGTTGTTATCAAGTTTATTGTTGTTAGCAATGTTATTGATAATGTTGTTATCAGCGTTTTGATGTTGATATTTCAGAGAGAAGGCTGCTGAGGAGGCTGCAAGGGAGGCAGAGAAGAAAGCAATGGAGGATGCCAGGGCTCAGGCTCAAGGTGAGTGTCGGAATATGCAGTTACTCCCTAGGACACATTATGCTGTTACTTCCTAGGACACAATATACTGTTACTCCCTAGGACACAATATGCTGTTACTTCCTAGGACACATTATGCTGTTACTTCCTAGGACACAATATGCTGTTACTCCCTAGGACACAATATGTTGTTGCTCCCTAGGACACAATATGCTGTTACTCCCTAGGACACAATATGCTGTTACTTCCTAGGACACAATATGTTGTTACTCCCTAGGACACAATATGTTGTTGCTCCCTAGGACACAAGATGTTGTTACTCCCTAGGACACTGTTGTTACTCCCTAAGACACAATGTGCTGTTACTCCCTAGGACACTGTGTTGTTACTACCTAGGACACAATATGCTGTTACTCCCTAGGACACTGTGTTGTTACTACCTAGGACACAATATGTTGTTACCCCCTAAGACACAATGTGCTGTTACTCCCTAGGACAAAACAATTCTGGTCTTTTGTTTGAAATTATTTCTAAACATTACAAACACCTGTCGTTTGGCAAGTTGAATCATAACACTGATGGAATGAAATCCTTTGTTTGGTTATGTAATATTGTGCATGGAGTATTGTTTGACAAATTCTTCAACTTGATCTTCCAATGAATCTTCTATTCAGCAATTTAAATTTCTCTAATGTTAACATAGTAGAGTGAGAGCGCATCATCTGATGTCATGTATGTGTGTTATTCACAGCCCAGCAGTGCAAACGCGTGTTGGGTCCCAAACGTCCGTCTGTCACTTCACAGAGCAGTCTGTCAGAACAGGAAGACACGCAGGAATCTTACCCAGAATTCCCCTTGCTTGAGGTTCCGAAGGTAAGAGGTCACAGACCATAATAAATTGAATTTAGGATGTGCTGTAATGGTACATGTATGCCAGAGGAGTCTTTAGAATAGATTGATGATTTTCTCATGTATCTTGAGATGTGACCATGGTAATGGTATTATTTTTCCTTATCCTGACTCATGCTCTTTTGCTTGTCTTCTTCTTCTTGCGAACATAGTGGAACACTTGTATCTCCTTATTTGAAGCTCCCTTCAAAATAAAATCACTAATTGGTACTCACCACGAGTTGCTCCCCTTTGTCTCCCCTGGCGGGAAAAGGTGTCGCCACCCTCTGGCCATGTGCTTCACTCTCTCCTTCTTCGCCCAGTGAGCAGGATGTGAGAGCGCCTTGTGTCTCCTTACACACATATCCTTTGATAATCTCTTAGTTTTTACCTCTCATAGGTTACTATAGAGGTATAGCTAGTATCCTTTACTATTTGTATTGATTAATTATCGTTATTTCTACTGTTTATTCACGTGTATTCGTGATTGTTCAGCTAGCTTTACGTTCATGAAAATCTGTACGATTTGTAGATTACGTTTTTCTGCCTCCGATCCACATGTAATATGCCCTAGTTGTTCTACGCCGTGTGCGTTTAATTCACGTTGCAGTTACTGCATTAATTTATCTCATTCTGCATTTAATAAATATCATCTTTGCGTCTTAAGACGTGCTGCAGATAGATCCGCAAACAAGGGCAAAACATGGCAGAGAGTCCAGATATTCCTTCCAGTCAGCTGCTAGCGATCGACCCTCTCCCGTCTGGTGTTCTGCTAGAGACCCTGCGCGCAGAGGAACGTGGGGCGCAGTCCGTTACCTCGAAGAAACGACCGGCCTCCCCAGACATCCCGTCATTGCAGACTAAGTCTAAGAGGGCCTCATCGTCGTCTCAACGCGCCAGATTGAGGACACCCAGGGCAGCGCCAGACTTCCAAAGGGAAATCTCGACGAAGACAGCAAGAACTTTCTCAGCCGAGATCGTTCCAGCAGCAGAGTTGGGCCTCTCACGATGATCAGCCGATAATCATCCCGACTTCACGGCAGAAGAAGCGACCGGTGTCAGCGACTGTGACTTCTGCAGAGATCTCCATGCAGCCTGATGCCTCTACACCGGCGTCAGGCGTCATTGATGTGAACCCCATCGCAGAAAAGGCGCCCGGCGACTTCGTCACTGATCATCCCAGAAGACATGATACGGCAGATTATGAACATCATGGAGGACCACTACAAACTGCGCGCAAGCAGTCCGAGCCTTCAGCGAAGGCTCCAGCGTGAACAGCACCCCAGAGGCACCCCGTCAACGTAGCAGCCAAGGCGATGTCACCTTCGGCGAAGTCCATAACACCTTGACGAAGGACCTAGATGTACAGCCTTCGAAAGGCCTTCGCTGGCGGGGAGAGATCATCACCATCTTCGATTTCATCTCTAGATATGGACTCAGACCATCAGACATCACGGAAGCCTTCGCGAAGGTCATATCATCGATCCCCGGACCGGACGCAAATGAAGCTTCGGCGAAGGCATTCGGCGACATATGATTCCAGATCTTCATCGTCTAGAAGAACATCGAGGGACTGCCGAAGAGCTTCGCCGAAGCTATCAACATTCACCTCACAAGTCTCCGAGAAGATCATCCCATAGGCGATCTCCACTCCGTTCATCACCAGGTCGATCACCCATCAGATCTCCACATAGAGCGCACAAGTCAACTAGATCGCCACAAACCTCATCAGATATACAGACAGCTACACGCAGTCCCGAAGAGCATCTACAATTTATTAATGATGATGGTTTTGAGGATGATGGAGGAATCATATTTTCTGATGCAGAGATACGGTATTGGATGGTCAATAACCTAGATCTCACATCACCATCTAAAAGTGGCAATACAGCTCAGGCGTGTTTGATGAAGGAAGATGATCCAGATGCAATCACTCTACCCCGATCGACCCGATTGCGGCAGTGCCACAGAATCTAGATGCAGCTTTCCAGAAAGCTACGAAAAAGTTCAGATACCACATCTGCCCAACTTTCAAGCCAAGAAGTTCTCCACGCATAACATGGACTCCTTCTACAAGGCCCAGGACATCGATGAGAACTATAAGATCATCAGCGATGTAAAGAACAAGATTTACAAGATGGATGATCGCAAGTTGGCTCATATAGAAACCATGGCCGAGGCGTATGTTCTTTGGGTTAAATAGATCTAGGGGCGATCAATGAGACTCTTATTACTAGATTCGGGATTCCACGACGGAAGATGATAGAATGATTTATTCTGCCTTACTTATGCAAAAGAAAGATCAGCAGTTTTAACGGATCATCTTACATCTGTTTCAGCAGCACTGACCTTAGCTCGTCGTCAAGGCCTCCTCGCCTCCTGTAATTGGGGAGAACTTTACAGCCCCACTTTATACAGCCCGTGGTCGACAACATCCATCTTTGGCGGAGAAATCGACAAGGATCGCCAAGGAAGTCTCTAAGGATTCCAGGGAAGTCCTTATGATTAGATCGATGGACACACTAGCCAGCGTCATTAGTCAGACTTCACAAAGATACTCAGGCAGATCTAAGTTCACGGGCCTACAAAGAGCAAGAGACAGGAAGATAGCCAGCTCTAGAGGTAAAGATTCTTTTAAATCAAGCCCATATGGCAACTATAGAGGAGGATCAGGAAGAGGCAGGACACCCAGAGGTTCCCGCAATTATAGGCGCTGAAACACAGGTTCGAACGACTGGAGTCTTCCACCCCAGCCGTTCCAGTACAACCAGCTCAAGTGGGTGGACGCCTCCAACTACACTGGGAAAACTGGGGGATACTGCAAGACCCTTCGTCTCCAACATTATTCAACACGGATTTTAGATCCCTCTACAGGCCAAGCCTCCGCTGACAATCAAACCCCCAAGTTCGATTTACAAAGCGCAACAACTACCAAAGATAAAGAGGCTGTTTCATCACTCCTATCCAAACAGGCCATAGAAGTAATAGATCAAGCAAACGTCGAACCAGGTTTCTACTCCCCAGTTTTCCTGGTTCCCAAGAAAAACTCCACGGAGAAATACAGACTCATCTACAACATGAGCTTTTCAACAAGAACTATCTCATAAACCACCGAAGTTTAAGCATGATACATTTACCTCAGTTACGCCAGATGATTAGTCCTATGGACTACATGGGCAGCATAGATCTACAGGATGCCTACTTGCACATCCCCATTCATCCCGATTCCAGAAATACCTACGATTTACTCTAGAAGGGCTACATTACCAGTGGAAAGTACTCCCATTCGAATATCATCAGCCCCTGGCTATTCCACGAGGATAACGAAACCGATTATCAAATTTCTACATCGTCAAGGGCTACGCGAGTGCGTTTTACCTCGACGACGGGATACAAGTAGATCAAGATCCACTGCGTCTCAAACTACAGTTAAATTACATCATAAAGCTACTAACACAACTAGGTTGGTTAGTAAACTTCACGCCAAGTCGGACCTAGTACCATCGCAAGACCTACAGTTCCTAGGTATTCGATTCATCACAAATCGCAAACCGTATTATGGTACCAGAAGACCGTTGGCTCAAGATACAACAGACCATTCCACCAGCTCTACTCTCTCCGTTACCACTGCGACAATGGCAGAGCCTACTAGGTCTTCTCACATCAGCCCAAGACATGACTGTCACAGGCAGATTACGATTACGTCCCTACAGGTCCTCATCAGCACATCTCAACGATGTACAACCATTCAGTCTACCGAAACATCTCAGACCACATCTACTATGGTGGACCAAGAAATCGAATGTCTGCGAAGGGATTTGTTTAGCAGAGCAGGAATACAAAACCCATCTGTATGTAGACGCCAGCGTCACTCCAAGGTTGGGGAGCTCATCTCACCAACCACATCGATATCAGGGTTATGGAATCAGCAAGAATGCAAACTCCATATAAACAGTCTAGAAATGAAAGCTGTAATCAGCGCCATTCTACATTGGAGCACATTTCTACAAAATGCGGCCTAATGATCCATACAGACAATTCGACAGTGGCGTTCTACATAAACAAGCAAGGCTCAACGAGATCGATGAACCTTTTGAACCTAAGCTTTCAACTGTTCGATTTAATACAAGATCTAAATCTACATGTCAGAGCAGTGCACATTCCCGGAGCCAGAAATATACTAGCAGACGGCTCTCTCGGGCCTCATCTACCATCACCGACAGAGTGGATGATCAACAGGAAAATTTTGCACAGATAATCAAGCAATTAGGAGCGCTAATAGACCTATTCGCCACGCGATTCAACAATCAGCTACCGACATTACGTGTCACCAGTCCCAGACCCCAAGCTTGGGCAGCGGACGCTCTAAGTCTATCATGGGAAGGCCTCAATGCGTGCAGCGCTTCCGCCGCCAGCAATAATACCCCAAGTATTACAGAAAATCAGACAAACACAGAGCCTACAACTCACTTTGGTCGCCCCTACTGGCCGGCCAGAACGTGGTTTCCCATACTAATTCAAGAAATCGGTCAACCAACACTGGAGCTACCCAAGCGCGCAAACCTGTTAATTCATCCTCACACCAAACAAGTGCACGGAAACCCAGCAATGTTCCAACTACACGTATATGGACTGTATACAAATGTGTTTAAACAAGAGAGGATATTCTGCCAGGGCGGCAAAAGCAGTCACGCTTGCCTTATACGTTACTCAACTCGTGGCACTTGTACGGCGACAAGTGGCACAGTTTCAAAAATTATGCAACAAAGAAAGGGTTTACAGCAAGAGAGGCTTCACAACCTCAAGTGGCAGACTATTTGTGTTACCTACGCCAAAACAAACATTTAAAAGGTTCAACGATATCAACATATCTTGCCGCTTAGCTCTGTAATCACCATGAGAACGGTGTCAAGTTGACAAGATCTCCAGAGTTACTGGCCTTACTACGAGCTTTCGATTGGAGGACCAAAAGCGGAAGTTCCACGCCCCAGCTTGGGATCTGAATGTAGTGTTACAACACCTCACGAGTGAGGTCTATGAACCTTTGGAATCGACAAACTTTGAATTTCTCTCACAGAAAACATTGTTTCTGCTATCGCTAGCCACAGCAGCAAGAATGTCTGAAATTCACGCTCTGGATTACGAGAGGATACAGTTTGATGACAATCATAACACAGCGCACCTCGGATTAAGATGGGATTTCATTGCAAAAAATCAACTGCCAGGTCAACCAGACAGATTATTCCACATCCCGGCGCTATCCTCTATTCTCGGATCACAAGATACACAAGACCTATCACTGTGTCCGGTAAGAGCTAAAAGTTTATTTACTGACGATCCAAAACAAGGAGAAGATTTCTCAAACGTTTATTCATCCCCTTATCGCCTACTTAATCAAACAGAAGTGTCACGGACCACAATATCTATTTGGATAAGGACTGTCATTCTCCGTGCCTACAAGGCAGCAGGCTTGGACCCACCAACAGCATCAAATCCACATGAGATCAGGGCACTGGCCTCTACCCTCGCCCTACACGGTAACTGTTCCTTGAACACGATTATGGAAGGATGCTATTGGAAATCTAACATGGTATTTGCTAATCACTACCTAAGAGACATCACTACAGAAGATGTCTCTGGCATTCACCATTTCGGACCACTGGTCCTCGCTCAGCAACTGACAGTCCCTCGTAGGCGTTAAAATATTATCCTCACAAGATTAATATGTACTTTATACATACTCATCTAGCTTTTAACTCTACGGAGTTTTAGGGCTATGTATATATGTTCAGCTTAAGTATTCAACCTTAAGCATATACTTGGATATAGTCATTTCAGTGCCTCTATCAGAGTCACCTATATATATATATATATAATTTATATGTATTGTTCAATATATTCATAATGTAATTCCCTTAATGGCTTTATATAACCTATGGTTTTCTTTATACAGGAAACATCCTAAATCTAAGCCTTCATGAAGTTCCGTGAGGGATATTACAGTATATCTATACAAAATCACTAATTATAAATCCAAAGTATTCTGTTACCCACCTCCGTTCCGTAGGATGCTACAAGCAAAAGAGCATGAGTCAGGATAAGGAAAAATATGTAATTTTTAGAGTAAAATTGATATTTTATACTTATCCTGACTCATGAGGTTAGCCCTCCCATCCTCCCCACATAACACTTTGGATTTCCCTGTAAATTCAAGTGTTGGGCTCGCTAAATCAGGAGAGAGTGGAGCACATGGCCAGAGGGTGGCGACACCTTTCCCGCCAGGGGAGACAAAGGGGAGCAACTCGTGGTGAGTACCAATTAGTGATTTTATTTTGAAGGGAGCTTCAAATAAGGAGATACAAGTGTTCCACTATGTTCTCAAGAAGAAGAAGACAAGCAAAAGAGCATGAGTCAGGATAAGTATAAAATATCAATTTTACTCTAAAAATTACATGTTGATGTGTTGATTCTATGGTTAATTGTTCGGTGATGTATTTCAGATTGGTGATGATGACACACCACTGCATCTGTCCACAACACCATTAGGGGTGTCGGCACAACAGCCTGAACCTCGCACCAAGGCTGTTCCACCTACGTCCCCACTTCTGTCATCTCTACTGCAGAGTAAACTGAAGTCTGCCAACAGCTTGCAACAGCTGAAAAACGTGAGATGTCACATTTGTCATTCTGCATCCTTCTCTCATCAAACTTTGGGTGGTGGGGTAGCCAAGTGGTTAAAGCATTCGCTTGTCACGCCAACAACCCCTGGTTCGATTCCCAACGTGGGTAGAATGTGTGAGGCCTATTTCTGATGTCCCACCTCCATGATATTGCTGGAATATTGCTAAAAGCGGCGTAAAATCGCTCTTTCTTTCTCTTTCTTTCTCCAGATACCTGAATGTCATTGGTTCATTCGCTGGCTTCGTCAGACCAACTGATGCTCAAAAGATTGTAACTGTTGTTTGTTACGTGTTATGTGTATCACTCGTAAATGCCATTCAAAGGCTTGAACCCGCACATTGTGTGAGCTTTTTGCAAGGGAGATATATTTCAGTTCTCTATGGCCCACTCTTTGTGATGTTACGTGTGATTATATTTTACAAGCTGAATTGGCTTGGCATAAAAAGATGGGATACATGTTTTATTAACACTGGAGTCTACACTCACTACATGCTCGCTCACTCACACACCCACTCCTTCTCTCCCTCACTCCAGCTCTCACTTGCTCACTCCACCTCTCACTACCCACCACTCACTCACACCAGCTCTCTCTCACTCACTCCACCTCACCTCACCTCACTCACCCCAGCTGTCTCTCACTCACTCACTCACTTCCTCCAGCTCTCACTCATTCCAACTCTCACTCACTCACTCCAGCTCTCACTCCCTCACCTCTCACTCACTTTTTCCAGCTCTCACTCACTTTTTCCAGCTCTCTCACTCACTCACTCCAGCTCTCACTCACTCACTCCAGCTCTTTCACTCTCACTCACTCCAGCTCTCTCACTCCAGCTCTCTCTCACTCCAGTTCTCTCACTCACAGTTTCCAGCTCTCTCACTCACTCACTCCAGCTCTTACTCACTCCAGCTCTCTCTCACTCACTCCAGCTCTCTCACTCCAGCTCTATCTCACTCATTTTTTCCAGCTCTCTCACTCCAGCTCTCTCTGACTCACTCCAGCTCACTCACTCCAGCTCACTCACTCACCCCTCACTCACTTTTTCCAGCTCTCTCCCACTCACTCACTCACTCCAGCTCTCACACTCTCTCTCTCACTCACTTACTCACTCCAGCTCTCTCTCACACACTCACTCACCCCAACACTCACGCACCCACCCACTCACCCACCCACTCACTCACTGTTCCAGGAAGCCGAGCAGGCCGAGGCTCTCACCCAGGCCCAGCAGGTACAGCAGCTGGCTCTACAACTGCAGCAGTCAGCAGAATCAGCTGTGAGCCAGGCTAGGGAGGCAGCTGTCAATCAAGCCAGAGAACAACAGCAGCTTCAACAGCAACAGCAACTGCAGCAGCAGCAAATGAAAATCGCAGCCAGTGCTGTGCAGAGTGTACCCCTCACAGAGTCCCTTCCAACGTCCCCATCATGTGGTAAGTCAACGACTCTTCTACTTTCTGTTAATCCATGGCTGGGATTACAGGATTACCTTAATTGGTGGGATTGTGTTCTGTAATGGTACTGGCTAATGCCCTAGCTTGAAAAGATTTTAACTGGCATTGAATCCTAAAAAAAGAGAGCATATCTGAAAACATGTCAAGTTTTTGAATCAGCATTACATGGAACAGACATATTGGTTACTCAAAACTATGTGTTTACCCTTTGTCCGGTTGACACATGTCATTGTATCCCAATTGCGTAGATTGATGCACATGATGTTAATCACTGGATTGTCTGGTCCAGACTTGATTATTTACAGACCTCCATGATATAAACACCAAACAAATGTTGTAACATCATCTCTTTTATAACTTCCTTTACATGTACATCAGGGTCGGAAATCACTTTAAAACAGCTAGTATACTGTGGTACAGTGGCACGTGTAAAATCACTTGCCCTGATACATTTTCCACTATTGGCCGACTTTCTTTTTCATTTCTTAAATAAACAACATAATTAACATTGGTAAATCAACTGGACACCGGTACAGCGTGATATACAAATTTGCTTGCCCGACAGAAAAAAGCACTGGACTGGGACATCGGGCAAGGGGTTATTTCCACCCATGTACATGTATGCACAGTCTGCCCTTTAAGCAGCACCAAAAGCCTAAAGAACGACTAGCTTAAACCACAGTACAGGAAGTTAAACACACCAACACAAGTTCTGCACCAAATGTAAAATAATATGTGTGGTCATATTCATCATAAGTTATCGTGTTACAAACAACAGTACTTAGTATTGAAAAACATGATCAGTTTTATTTATTGGATGGATGTACATTGAAAAACCTAAAAATTTTGCACAAAATCATTCCATCAGAGCTGCCTGATGTCTCATCCGCATTATACCCGTGGAGGGTCCGGTTAGAATAATGATCTTCAGTAACCCATGCTTGTCGTGATGAGGCGATTAATGGGATCGGGTGATCATGCTCGTTGACTTGGTTGACACATGTCATCGGTTCCCAATTGTGCAGATCGATGCTCATGCTGTTGATCACTGGATTGTCTGGTCCAGACTCGATTATTTACAGACCGCCATAGAGCTGGAATATTGCTGAGTACGAATAAAACTAAACTCACTCACTCATCCGGCATTGAAGACTGTCTGTGATAACTGCTGGTTATGGATTCTGATTTAGTTTAATAGAACCTCTATTACTTGTATGCTTGTTAAATACACCCCTTCACTCAATCTTCAGCTGCCCCACTCTGTCGGCTGTTGTTCACAAGGGCACAGCCGAAGCCAGTCTCTGAGACCACCTCGTCCTCCATCACCACTGTCACCAGCACACCTGTCGTCACCGTGACCGAAGTACCTTCCCCTCTCGATATCCTGGAAGCTGGCGAACCCAAGTCCACAGATCCACTAGATCAAGGTAGGTAGTGTCACCATATTGCTCCTAAGAGAGACCTCATCTCTATCTAGAGCCTGAATCTTTCCAAGGACAAGGTTTCTGGTAAGGGTTTCAAAGAATTCGAATATGAACGGAATAATAGAATAGCCAGACTTAAGCCAGCCTCTCATGTGGGTAAAATGTGAAAATAAACTGAAATTAGAAAGGGACTGACCATTTATGATTTTGGATAGGTGGGAAATTGATTCAGATTTCTGCTCCTGAACGTGTCTTTCTAAACATTGCTTTGATTATGTGGTGGTTGATGTTGTTTCTCTAGACTCAGCTGATGAGAGTGTCAATGTGGATGTGACGGCAGTCGAGGTCAGTTCCAATGATGGCGATCCACAAGAAGGGTCAGCTGACCAGTCATGTGACCCATCTTGCGATGGTGGGGATGGCAAGGATGATGTTGCAGAGGATGAAGGGACAGCTGATGAGTTGACACAGGCAGAACTGACTCCGCTAACCCGACCGGAACATAAGGGCGGTGGGAAGCAGGTGACTGCTAGTCAGGTGAGTGACACGGACGAGATGACCGCTGCTCTGGCAAGTCCAGTTGGTCAGGCGGGGCGGTGGGGTAGCCTAATGGTTAAAGTGTTGGCTCGTCATGCCGATGACCCGGGTTCGAATCCCCACATGGGCACAATGTGTGAAGCCCATTTCTGGTGTCCCCGCCGTGATGTAGCTGGAATATTGCTAAAAGCGGCATAAAAACCAAATTCAGTCAGTCAGTCAGTTAGTCAGGCAGGAATGATATCACTATTATCAGATGAGGGACATAACAGAGTGGTAATGAGATGAACTCTGGTTATGTGTGTGACTAGATTGCTTCATTTATGTGTATGTATGTAGACAGTTTTGTTTCAAACATGGACGATTAATTTCCAGCTGCAGGAAGACGATGACTCCAGCGAGGTTGCAGGCAGCAGTTTTGTGTGTGTGGATGAGGAAGTATCCATCAAGGAAGACCCAGCATCACCAGCCAGCTCCGTGTCCTCCAAGGTCAGCGAGAGCGGTGGCAAGTCCTTCAAGCCGCGCCGGAGGAAAGGTGAGACATGGTCCATATGTATGCCTCTCCTTCATCCACACCAGCATGTATCATCTCCTTGTTAGGTGGGCGGTGGGGTAGCCTAGTGGTTAAACGTTCGCTCGTCACGCCAACTGTGTGAAGCTCATTAATGGTGTCCCTCACCGTGATATTGCTGGAATATTGCTAAAAGGGGCGTTAAACCATACTCACTCTCAAATCCTAGGTGTCATGTTTCTAGGATTGTCATCACAGTCTGTAACCACGGTCTGTAACTGTACTTCGTCATATGAGCGAAATATTCTCAAGCACGACGTTAAACCCATTTTCACCTCACCTCACCTGTAACTGTACTGGGGCGGTGGGGTAGCCTAGTGGTTCAAGCGTTGGCTCGTCACGCCGAAGGCCCGGGTTCGATTCCCAACATGGGCACAATGTTTTAAGCCCATTTCTGGTGTCCCCCACCGTGATATTGCTGGAATATTGCTAAAAGCGGCGTAAAACTAAACGCAGTCAGTCAGTGTAACTGTACTCGTGTTGGGTTTAGCCACAGTGGTCACGTTTTTCTCCCACGTTTGGATGAGATTTTGGATACAACTGAAATACTCTTTGAAGCTGTGTTTAGCCAAATTTACTAACACAAGAGAGATCCACCATTGTTATATCTGCCCCATCCAAAACTGCCTTACTGATATCTGCATGTGTTATTTTGTCAGGACGCGGAGGTCGAGGGGGTCAACGAGGGAGGCCTTCACGCCGATCTGTGCAGGTTTGTAAACATTTCACACCTGGAACTTTGTTTCCTTATCCCTCTCACATCTAGAACCTGATATCATAAATATCTTGCATCTAGAACCTGATATCATAAATATCTCATGTCTAGAACCTGATGTCATATATATCTCACATCTAGAATCTGATATATGCTAACACAAATATTTTGGATCTAGAAGCTGATAACATAAACATCTCATGTCTAGAACTTCATAGCATAAATATTTCACATTTAAGCATGATAAAAAAGGATCTTACATCAGGAATGTAATAATGTATAGGCATCTAAAATGATAATGCTCTCATAAGAATGGGATAATTCTTACATGTCACATAGAGAATATGATAATGCCAAGTAATAGTTTCATCAAGGTTAACTCTGTCACCATCGTGTAGAAACTGCATGACGTGGTGTGTTTTCTACAGGATGATGACAAGAAGGACGATGCCAGCTCAAAACACAGTGATGTTGATCTGTCTGATGAAGAGATGCGAGAGAGTGATGATCCTGCACCTACCTGTGGCTCCATCTTCTCAGAATCCATTCCAAACAGTCCTGCCTCCTTGTCCATGTGGTATGTATATATCAGTCACAGATACACATTGGTGATATTTTAAATGATAATTCATATTCAAATTAGTTTTTTCTGATTATGTCTTCATCTGTGAGGTGTTTCATTTCCTAAGGTGTATATGAAACACGTACAAAGTTATTCATAATGCATTTCTCCTGTTTCAAGTAGTGACACAGAGGATGAGAAGGCCTTCAAGACGTGGAAGAAATCAATCATGCTGGTGTGGCGATCAGCGGCCAACCACAAGTAAGTGAACTGTTGGTTGAGAAAATAAGTTGGCTGTGGTATGAGAGAGTAAGTGGGTCATGTTTTGTGGGGAAAACAAGCCATCTGTTGATTATAGAGAACATGTCAACTGTCATTTGAGAGAACGAGTGTGAGAGAAAAAGTCAGCTGTGGTTTAAGGTGAGGTGAGGTGAAATTGGGTTTTACGTCGTGCTTGAGAATATTTCGCTCATATGACGACGTGCATGCATGTGTATGTGCGGATGCTTGTACTAGCCCAGACTTAAGCTGGTTTTATAGTGCTAGCCCACTGAGATACCAGGCCGCAGTGAAGCATGAATACCCACTCAGACACATTATACTGACTCCGAGCCGACCAGTCCTTATTGTACCCATTAATGCCGAGCACCAGGCAGGGACCAACAAGTACCATATTTTAACGTCTTTATGGTAGGACGCGGTCAGGGATCGAACCCGCGACCTTCTGCTCTCCGGGCGGACGCTCTATTCACTACACCACGGAGGCGGTCTGTGGTTTAAGGAAACAAGTGTGTGGTTTGAAAGGACAAGTATGACAGCTATAGTATTATGTATTGTTTGAGAGAACAACTTGGTCAAATGTTGTTTGGGAGATCAAGTAAGTCAGTTGGGGCTTGAGAGGAACCTCTAAATGAACTGTTTTACCCTTAAGACTTGAACACTGTGTTATGTCTGTTACAGATATGCCAATGTGTTTCTGCACCCTGTCACCAATGAAATAGCTCCTGGCTACAAGGGAATTGTGCACAGGTGAGTTGGGAAGTTTGGTGAGAGGGAGACAAGTATCAAACCTGTACACAAGTGAACGATGACATGATTTTAGATGTACAGATTTCCAAATAACATCTCTGAACCTGCACTTGAGATTTGAAAAATAATGAGTTGGTATTTGGTGTAGTGTTGGGAATTGGTTAAAATCTCATAATTGATGATTGCTTCATTACAACCGATCAATCATCGAAAATAATTGGTTAGTGTCATTTATGAAATTTGTTAATACAGAAAAAAATAAGGGAAAAAACATGTCGTTCATTGGGGTTTTTGGGGCAAATTTCACATCTTTAAAGGATGACTAGTATGTTAGGAACATAAATTTCTTGGAGTCTTTAAGATAAATTCAATCATGACTTGGAACGAGCTTGTAGTGCTTATGAAATGTAACCAACCAACCTTGTGAAAAATATTGTTAATGCAAACAAGTGTTCCAAGATTGGTTGCGTTCGATTATGAGAAAACATGATTGATTGTTGGTCATCACTAATTTGGTGTTAATGGTTTGGCTTGTGTAACATCCTTTGTTTCAGTCATTTGTTGTTGAGCATTCCCTTTTTAAGGCTTTGGTTGTCGAATGTCCTGCTGTTCTTGTCCTTTGTTGTATGAATGCCCTGCTGTTCAATGCTGTTCGCTTCTGATTGTTTACTTTCATGGTTATCTGGAATCTGTTTAGACCAATGGACCTTGGTACTATCAAGAAGAATATTGAAACAGGAGTGTTACGGACAACGCCAGAGTTCCAGCGAGATATGATGTTGATGTTTACGAACGCTATCATGTACAACAGCACCGATCAGCCTGTTTTCAAGATGGCCACCGAGATGTACAATGATGTCATGCAACACATTGAGGTAACCATGACAACATATTTTAACTTGTCTGAAAGGGTTTTAGTTTTGTGTTAAGACTTAATAATCAATCTTTACATTAATCATTTGTCATTTATTTTTATCGGGTCGATTTTTACAAGTGGATCCACAATGCCCTCTCCATACATACATAACAAAGAGCGATCACACAACAATTTAGAACCAGCTTAAGTCTGGCAGACATGACGTACTGTACGGTAATTAATAGCAAGTATCAGTGAGAACAGATAAAAAGTGACCGCCTCCGTGGTGTAGTGGTTAGAGTGTCCGCCCGGAGAGTGGAAGGTCGCGGGTTCGATCCCCGGCCATGTCATACCAAAAGACGTTAAAATATGGTACTTGTTGGTCCCTGCCAGGTGCTCGGCATTAATGGGTACAACAAGGACTGGTCGGCTCGGAGTCAGTATAATGTGTCTGAGTGGGGTATTCATGCTTCACTGCGGCATGGTATCTCAGTAGGCTAGCACTATAAAACAAGCTTAAGTCTGGGCTAGTACAAGCATCCGCACATACACACGCATGCACGTCTTCATATGAGCGAAATATTCTCAAGCACGACGTAAAACCCAATTTCACCTCACCTCACAGTTAAAAAGTCTTACTTTTTGATAACATCAGCTTCCATGTCCCCAAAAGATCCATTGAATATCAACACATAAATCCATCCTACAAAATGTGAAGCACAAAGTACTGCATTCACATACTGCTGACCTGGCATATTGGGTTTAAGCTACATTCCCTGCCGACAGGGCACATCCCTTCATAACACTCCCAACCTGGGAACTGAACACATTGTGTTCAACTAGCTTGGAAAAGACAAATAGCCAAGCTACAGTTACATAACTCCCCTTTGTTTGTCAGCTTACCCCAGCTTGAACATAGACAATGGAAAATTGTGTGCCTGGTAAACAGAGCCCCAGTGTTAACCACTGACAATCTCCACACATGTAACATAATATATGAATAAAAAGGATGAGTATAATTTTGGGGAAAAATAAATGTAGATAATATTCACTTCATGGAAGATTGTTATATCTATATATCAAAATATCTAAATGTTGGAAATGATATGTTGATTAAATGGTTGGACATAAAGATAATAATTGTTCACAAAAAGCTAAGTCAGCAGAGTAGAACATTTAGCCATTACTTGACTTCCAGTTTGGGGGCGCGGGGGGGTAGTCTAGTGGTTAAAGCATTGGCTCGTCACGCCGAAGACCCGGGTTCGAATCCCCACAGGGGTACAATGAGTGAAGCCCATTTCTGGTGTCCCACGCCGTGATATTGCTGGAATATTGCTAAAAGCGGCATAAAACCAAACTCAGTCAGTCAGTCAGTCCAGTTTGGGTTCAGTAATTAACAGTAGGATCGTAAATAGATCAGGCAATGTGTGATTGGAATTTTTAAACTTATTCCTGTTTATTAAACTTGAATTAATTTATATGGCAAACACATCTCTGAAGATTTACTGTCAGAAACATCTCAATAAAATTTGCTCAAGAATTGGGATCAAATTTGCAAAAGGGCCAGACAGCCATATTTAAGATGCAGTTCAGACCACAAAACTCAACATGTACCCATGTACAGAATGGGTTGAGCTTACAGTGATTGTATGTTGTCTTGCAGCAATATGTCAGCACCCAGTTGATGGTTCAAAGCAATGAGACGAAGATGTTACGGCAGTCCAGACGTGGAGAGCTCCAGGAGAAGGTACGTTACAGATGTTAGTTTGTTACGAACAAGCACCTTCAGCCTACAACTGTCTCTATCAGGCTATCACACCAACCTTCCTCGCCTACTTCACACGGGCAGTGGGGTAACCTAGTGGCTGAAGTGTTAAGCTCATCACGCCAAAGGCCGGGTTTGATTCCCAAATGGGTACAATGTGGGAAGCCCATTACTGGTGTCCCCTGCTGTTATATTGCTGGAATATTGCTAAAAGTGCGAAAAACTGAACTCTCTCACTCACTCGTTTGCCAAGATGTAAATTGGTCATTGTTGAAATTACATTTGAAATTGTAATTGACCTACAACCTGAATATTTATGTATGTAAGACATATGGTTGTATCAATGTCCAGATGTATCATTATGAATGCCCACACAAGTAACAGTGTCTCTTGTGAAAAGTCAAATTTCTTAATATATGTCCAATAGTACATTATTTAATCTTCAGAGAATCAAAACATCTTAGTTGACAAACTTTAACTTTGGGCTCTGTCAAACACTAGTTCAAGAACACCCCATTATCCATACTGTGTATGGTAGTTTATGGTCATGTTATTTCTTCCAGGAAGAGGAGGGAAAGAAAAGAAGAACTTCCTCAGAGCAGCCACCAGAAGGTGGCAAGACCAAGAAGCGCAAAACTCGGGCTGACGACACCTGAGCTTATTGGCAGACATTTTTGCATGTCTGTTGTATAAAATATTTCTGGTTAGCACGGAGTAATCTCCCTTGAACACACTCAAACTAACCTTCACATTGCCTAAACTGTTTTATGCTGCAACAGGCCTTGACTATTGTCAGTGATGTGTGTAAGAAATCTTGATATGCGCTATGTTGCATCATCATTCACTGGGTACGCGTGTGTTGGTGTAGTGAAGAGCTGCCTGTACAGGTATATTGGTGTCCCCTGACCGTTGGTCAGTGTTGCAACATGGTGTGTGTGTGTGTGTGTGCGTATGTAGATGTCCTGTTGTCAGTATCAAGCTTCTGGTAGAGTAAATGGCTGTATGAAAAATATTGATTTATGTGATTGCTAACTGTTACCAAAGAACCAGGGGTGGTGGCCTAGTGGTTAAAGCGGTGGCTTGTCATGCTGAAGACCCGGGTTCAATTCCCTACATGGGCAGAATGTGTGAAGCCCATTTCTGGTGTCCCCCGCCGTGATACTGCTGGAATATAGCTAAAAGCGGCGTAAAATCATTCACTCATCCACCAAAGGACCACGAGGAACTGTTAGGTGGTGTAGTGAATGCAGTGTCTGCTGGTTAAAGGAAGGTCTATTGTTTTATTCTCTGGCAACTTCATAGGAAAAGACACTAAAAGATGGGACTTGTTGTTACCCTGCCTGGCGCTTCGCTTTATGAGGATATATTACAGGGAGCAACTCGTCAGTATTTGGTGTCTTAAGGGACCGTTAATAATTTATGGCTAGAGGGGTGATGCTGATTTTTATGGAGAAGCATGTACAATGCGAATGACCCCCCTAAAATTTACGTACAAAGTAAGTGACCCCCCTAAATAAATAAATAAATTATTATCGGTCCCTAATAGGGACACAACCAGCATAAGACCAGACCAGTACAAGCAGACACACACATGTATGTCATCTGTGTGTGATGAACATCATCAGACCCTAAGAATAATGACAGATAATTGTGTAAAATATGTTTTCCCCAGCGTAAGTGAATGTTAGACGTATTAGAGATCATTAATTGAAGCTTTTGTCACAGATATGTGGAATAGCTATCAAGCACATGACATGTGATGCATGTTGCCCATCTCAGAGGTGACACATGAAGCAGACGTCAATCTGTGTGACCACATTTGGTCATGTCTAACAGAGCACATGTAGCCGACATCAAGTTGAACCGCAGGTGCCTCTCACGTATGTTGCAGACGTCAGTCTGTGTGACCACTGATGCTGATGTCCGACAGACAGCACATGTAGCAGACGTCAAACTGAGGTACCGCAGGTGCATCTCACATATGTTGCAGACGTCAAGCTGGGGGGACAACCCTTGTTTCTACCCAACAGACAATAAATGTAACAGAGGTCCAGCTGTATGTCATGTTGCAGACACCAGGCTGTATGACCACTGTTGCCTGATAGATGGAATACAAGGTGTTTAAATCCACAACAACACAATCATTAGGCAAAATTTCTCATGTGATTTCAAGATGGAGACTTCCACAAATAAAGTCAAAGAAAGTGTAATATGCATGTTTATTATGTTTTCTGTGTCAGTCATGAAGCAAGTATATCCAAAACAACCAATACCATACTTCACAGCTTTCTTACATTCTGAAGACTATGTATGTATAACAATATTCTCAGTTACCAAACGTTTTAATGACGTATTTCCATCAGGCTACAGACCTTTTCTCATATAGTCTTGCATCTTTTTTGAAGACGCTTCAAGCACCAAGATCAGGAAAATGTCCTTCACAACTTCCAATATTGTTCTGACCAGTGCACGGTAACTGGGAATTCTAGGATAGAATTGTCTCCACTTCTTTTGTTTGTTCTTCTGCACTCAGCAATATTCCAGCTACATGGCAGTTTTCCACTTCTGGAGTGGATCGTAGTCCAGAATTACACTATGCATATGCACACACGCACGCACACACACACACACACACACACACACACACACACACACACACACACACACACACACACACAAAATCTTTCTTCAAAAATATTTAAGACACGAGCAAAGATTACTGGTAAACATCAGTTCAGACAAAGATTACACGTATGTACACATTAGCTGTCACATGAACACTGGGTGACAATTACTCATACACGTATGTACAACGTTGACTGCAGAATGGTATGTCAGTTAATCCCGATTTGTGTTCAGTGATGAATGCTGCAGATGTATTTCTACACTGGGATACTTTGGGAAGCAGTTGTCGGACCTCCCAGTTAGAACTTGACTAGTCCTTCACATGCCGCCAAGCTGAACAGGAAGTTTTCAGTAGCCGGAGGCATCTTGCGTTGTTTGAGGGTGTCCAGACTCAGCGTGAGTCGCCCGCCTCCCTCGTCGGAAGCCAGAGACCGGAGGTTGTTCAACAGCTCCTTTGTTTTTCCAGCCACCTCCTGCACAGGGGTGGAAATAACTTTAAAATTGCTAGTGTAGTCCGTTACAGTGGCACATGTAAAATCACTTGCCCTGATAATTTTTCCATTGTACCGGCCAATTTTCTTGTTGAATTTTTAAATAAACAACACAATTAACATGGGGAAGTCAACTGGACACTGGTACAGCGTGATATACAAATTTGCTTGCCCGACAGAAAAAAACACTGGACTGGGGCATCGGGCAATGGGTTATTTTCACCCCTCCTGCAATGAAATTTGAATTTGTGTTGTGCTGGTTGCTAATCTGCATTATATTTGTTTCAGCAGGAGGGATTTCTCACTGGGCAAAAAGTCCACTGAGGAATGTTTCACTTATGAAAAGTTTACAACAGAAGTGGGTGGGCATCACATTCATTTGACCCACGAGGATCCGGGTTAGAATTGATCTTCAATAACCCATGTTTGTCGTAAGAGGCAACTAACGGGATTGCTTGCTGACTTGGTTGACACACGTCATCGTATCCCAGTTGTGTAAATTGATGCTCATGCTGTTGATCACTGGATTGTCTGGTCCAGACTCAGTGATTTACAGACTGCCGGGATAGCTGGAATACTGCGGAGTGTGCGGTAAAACTAAACGCACATTTATTTCGGTGCCTCACCTTTATCATGTCCTCATCTGTCGTGTCAGCTGATTCAGCTCCTTGAACCATCAGAAGTGCTATATCCTTGTGGAGTTTCCCCATGGCCAGGGCATCTGTAAAACCACAAGATTATCAGCATTCTTCTTGTAATGCTGGAATTTCGCTTCTTGACTTGAACAATTTTCACTCCTATTGTCCTAATACAGTGTAGACAAGTGCTTAATCACAGCCTTGTGTTATGTACATAATGTAGCTCATGGTCGTCAAGGCAACAAGTTGTTGAGTGCTTATTTGCAACTTAGTGACCTTGAACTTAAATACTAGTATTCACCAATCAGTTACCCTGAAGTTCGTTGAATAGTCATGAATCACATACAGGAACATTTCTAGCCTAGATCTGCTACATGTTACCTTTAAAATAAAACTGAGTGAATGAAAAATCATCAAACTTAAAGTGATCTTGACTTTTGACACAACCTTGACACATTGTGTACATTTTACAGTGTGTCTTCACTGGCTGAAAATGAACCTTTATTTTGATTGAAAGTGAAGTGTGAGCCATTATAGATAATGTGACCTTGTCCCCACCTTGAGCTCCTGGGCCTAGATTTTCAAGCTCTCTTTAAGATCGACAAGTTAATGTTAATGTATGGCACTTGACCCTTAGCACTAAGAGAGCTTCAAAAATCCCCAGTATATTAAGTTACATCAACTTCAAATGATGGTATGTAGTGTCATGTATTCAGACGTTTTGGCCTCACCATTCTAACCTGCTAGAAAATGTCATGATGTGAATACTGCTATACTAAACTGACTGCTGATGTTTGAATTTACTGGTAGGATACATTATGTCTTGAAACAGCAGAACTACTCTCTAACGGTTCATCATTATGATTTGTACAACAACTAGCTCATATATTTGCAGTCTGAGAAGTGAAAGCATATTAGCTGAAATATGATGAGACAGATGGTTCTTCTTACCTTTAGCATGAGACGCTACAGTTACTTGTCCAGCAGGACCATTCACAAACACATCATACAGATCTGGTCTGAAAGCAGATGTGCTCAGATTAGAAGTGAAGTGAAATTGGGATTTACGTCGTACTTGAGAATATTTAGCTCATTTGACGACGTGCATGCGTGTGTATGTGTATGTGCGGCTGCTTGTACTAGCCCAGACTGAAGCTGGTTTTATAGTGCTAGCCCACTGAGATACCATGCCGCAGTGAAGCATGAATACCCCACTCAGACACATTATACTGACTCCGAGCCGACCAGTCCTTGTTGTACCCATCAATGCCGAGTGCCAGGCAGGGACCAACAAGTACCATATTTTAACGTCTTTTGGTATGACGCGGTCGGGGATCGAACCCGCGACCTTCCGCTCTCCGGGCGGACCTCTAACCACTACACCACGGAGGTGGTCCTCAGATTAGAAAGGAAACTGTGGTTATGAACAAGCATCTTCTGTGTCTACAACTGTCTCTATCAGGCTATCACACCTAGCTTGCCTACTTCACCGGGGATTTGGGGTAGCCTAGTGGTTACAGCGTTGGCTCATCACGCTAAAGACATGGGTTTGATTCCCCACAAGGGTACAATGTGAAGCCAAATTTCTGGAGTCCCTTGCCATCACATTGCTGGAATATTGCTAAAAGCGACATAAAATGAAACTCACTCACTCTACTTCTTCCTCGTTGAACTCTGCCACAACTGTTTTCTTCTTGGACCCGTGAAGGTCCGATTTAGCTGGAATATTGCAGAGTGCGGCGTTAACCAACCAACCAACCAACCACACCTGTCTTCACTAGTATGCATGTATCACACCAACCAACCAACCACACCTGTCTTCCTTAGTATGCATGTATCACACCAACCTACCTCCCCTCAACTTCAGCTTCTGTGAATCCTGCAACATAATGGCTGACCGACTTCAGACCCTCCAGCTCGCTGGTAGCGAGAGAGACGTGAGGATATACAACACTCCAATTCTGTCGGTGCCAAACCAAAGCAGGCAGTGATCTGCAGGAACAATGAGGGACAGCACTTTCAGAAGGAGGGACAGAACGTTCACAGCATTTCAGGGGTGGAAATAACCCATTGCCCGACGTCCGAGTCAAGTGTTTTTTTCTGTCGGGCAAGCAAATTTCTATATCACACTGTATCGGTGTCCAGTTGACTTTCCAATGTTAATTATGTTGTTTATTTAAAAATCAACAAGAAAACAGCCGGTATAGTGGAAAAATTATCAGGGCAAGTGATTTTACATGTGCCACTGTACCAGAGTACACTAGCAATTTAAAGTTATTTCCACCCCTGCATTTCAGTAACATCAGTGTATGTATGCCTAAAATGAAGGTGAGGTGAGGTGAGGTAAAATTGGGATTTACATCGTACTTGAGAATATTTTGCTCATATGACGACGTGCATGCGTGTGTATGTGCGGCTACTTGTACTAGCCCAGACTTAAGCTGGTTTTATAGTGCTAGCCCACTGAGATACCATGCCACAGTTAAGCATGAATACCCCACTCACACACATTATACTCCGAGCTGACCAGTCCTTGTTGTAGCCATTAATGCCGAACGCCAGGCAGGGACCAACAAGTACCATATTTTAACGTCTTTTGGTATGACACAACCAGGGATCGAACCCGCGACCTTCCGCTTTCTGGGCAGACACTCTAACCACTACACCACGGAGGCGGTCACCTAACATGAAAGAAAAGCTGAGACATCTATCACTTTGATTAAAATAAACCTCACTATCACACTCTGAGAGCTGATCAAACAAACATCAGCCTCTGTGGTAAAATCCCTCTTCAACACCGTTAAAAGCAACAATATGGATTCTCTCTATGGTTTAGAAATTATTGCTTCACAACTTCTTTACTAGGTCATACTAAATAGCTTGTGTTGTCATTTATTTTGGCAAAATGTTTTCTAAGTTAGATCAGAGGGAATAAGTTTAATCTGTTTAAAGTGTGGGATGTTTAGCATTTTTAAAGTACATTACAAAGCACGTACATTTTCTCATTTGTTTACATCTTGAAAGGCTTTCAGTTTGAAAGAGGCGATACTACATACAATGGAAATGTTCTGTTATATGAAAGGTTAAATGTTAGTAAAATGGTTAATTGATATGTTGTACCGACTTGCATATCAACCTGGAAAAAAACGTCTGACAAAATATGGCGGGATATATTTGAGATTGGGGGATATATTTGAGATAGGGGATATATTTGAGAAGGGGGTACCTTGTGAACTCTAGCAGATCAGCCAGGGAATGTGGCGGGAAGTATATTGCTACTCTTTTCTTTAACATGAGGGCCGTGTACAGAAGTATCGCCTCCAGGCCCAACGTCTGGATTACGTCTGCAAAACATAGTGATGAGAAAGGTTTTGCATACATAATAAATATCCGTTGTTCAAAATCCAGTCCTCAAAGGATTGTAAAATAACTAGAGGACCACAGATGGTGTTTAAACCTAGCATGTAAATCTAAAACTATTTTACTTACAAAGACAATACAATATAAAAACAGGCTATAGGTTGCCAACAACTGAAGGTTGGTCACCATACTAGGGGCCATGGGGTCTTACAATGCTTTTGCTACCTGCATGGACCCTAGTTCGATTTACATCGTCCCTTCAGATGTTGGCGAATATGGCAAATTTAGTCAAAGATAAAACCAAACACATATGCTACGAATAGAAACGTGGTAGTTTTTTAATGAATACACTTTGAAAGACGTGGTCTCATGTACCCTTTCAGAAGGATAATAATTATAATTATACGGTACTTCAACCTCCTTTGAGGATACCGCCACTCACAATCACAGTTGCTAATTCATACCACCAAGTTTAAAATACCATTGATCTATTTACAAAACAATTTAAATATGTCTCCCACACATTACCTCCTGCGAATTTCTAGGATTCAGTCCTGCCCCACACGTGATACATGTCTTGTCATATACACAAAAGCCAACAGATAAGTAGAAACTCACTTTTAACACTGCTTTTGGCATAGGCTTTTCTGTTACCAAAGTCTTTGACTGAGAACTTCCCGTTATCATCAGTGGCCCATACTCCTCTCGTCACAACACCCATGTAAGCCTCCAACATGGCCGATGGACTGCCCTTCTCGCGGTACAGCTTGGTCAAGATCTCACATAGTCGCTCATACTTCTCAGGGTTGAAGTCCCTTGTCACCAGCACTAGTGAAACATTTGTCACCTTTGAAAAAACAGACATACAGGTAGAGAAATGCCACTTGACACATTTCCTTTAAAAAGCCAGATATACATAAAGAGAGACATTGGTGAATTAATTTCAGAAAATGTGACATACATGTAAAGATACAAAAATGGCCTGGAAGAATAAGTATTAATGAGTTTAGTGTTTTGCCGCAGTCAGCAATATTCCAGCTACATGGCGGCGGTCTGTAAATAATCGAGTCTGGACCAGATAATCCAGTGATCAACAGCATGAGCATCAAAATACGCAACTGGGATACAATGATGTGTCAATCTTGTCATTGAGCCTGATCACCCGATCCCATTAGTCGCATCTTACGACAGGCATGGGTTACTGAAGACCAATTGTAAGCTGGATCTTCACGGGTCTTGAAGATGGAAGACATGCATCTAGTGACAAACTGCTTAACAGCTTTCCTTCAAGAAACTACACATACATGTAGAGAAATAATGGCCGACTTCAAGAAATCAGGCAAATGTGAAGACACAATGGTCACATTCAGGAAACCAGGCATTCTTTCAGTGAAACATCTGAAAGCTTCTTGAAACATTTAAAGTCATTTACAAAAATGTTAAACTTTATATAAACATTTTAAATACATCATGACAATGTAAACAATCTACAGAAATAAGCTATATAAACTTTCGTTGACATCAAAGGGAGGTAATACAGCGTGGAATTTGACTTGCTTTTGGCAGGGCAGCTTGACCATCGATGTCTGTGTGCAGCAGGTAGTACCACTTCTGTTGCCATTGGTAATAGATAAAGCGTAGAGGTTGAAGCGACCCTGAGCTGAGTCCGCACTTGTCAAGGAGCATCTCCCTCTGTTCCTGGGATGCAGATGGGTAGGACCAGGTCCACAACACATCCCCATTCCTGTCTTTCTCTATAACAGAATGAACACAGTATTAAAAGGGCACATGGCAGCAGTCAGAACTTTTACAGGAGAATACAACGTGACAACATGGTGCTACAGGGGCACATGACATGTCAGTACTACAGGAGAATAGAGCATGACCACACAGTGTTACAGGGACACATGACATGTCAGTCCTTCAGGAGAAGAAAGCGTGACAACACGTAGTTACAGGGCACATGACATGTCAGTATTTCAGGAGAATAAAGCGTGACCACACAGTGTTACAGGGACACATGACATGTCAGGACTACAGGAGAATAAAGCATGACAACACGTTGTTACAGGGACACATGACATGTCAGTCCTTCAGGAGAATAGAGTGTGACCACACAGTGTTACAGGGACACATGACATGTCAGGACTACAGGAGAAGAAAGCGTGACAACACAGTGTTATAGTGCACATGACATGTCAGTACTAGAGGAGAATAAAGCATGACAACACGTTGTTACAGGGACACATGACATGTCAGTCCTTCAGGAGAATAGAGTGTGACCACACAGTGTTACAGGGACACATGACATGTCAGTCCTTCAGGAGAATAAAGCATGACAACACGTTGTTACAGGGACACATGACATGTCAGGACTACAGGAGAAGAAAGAGTGACAACACAGTGTTATAGGGCACATGACATGTCAGTACTAGAGGAGAATAAAGCATGACAACACGTTGTTACAGGGACACATGACATGTCAGGACTACAGGAGAAGAAAGCAGTGACAACACAGTGTTATAGGGCACATGACATGTCAGTACTAGAGGAGAAGAAAGCATGACAACACGTTGTTACAGGGACACATGACATGTCAGGACTACAGGAGAAGAAAGAGTGACAAGACAGTGTTATAGGGCACATGACATGTCAGTACTAGAGGAGAAGAAAGCATGACAACACGTTGTTACAGGGACACATGACATGTCAGGACTACAGGAGAAGAAAGAGTGACAAGACAGTGTTATAGGGCACATGACATGTCAGTACTAGAGGAGAATAAAGCATGACAACACGTTGTTACAGGGACACATGACATGTCAGGACTACAGGAGAAGAAAGAGTGACAACACAGTGTTATAGGGCACATGACATGTCAGTACTAGAGGAGAATAAAGCATGACAACACAGTGTTATAGGGCACATGACATGTCAGGACTACAGGAGAAGAAAGAGTGACAACACAGTGTTATAGGGCACATGACATGTCAGTACTAGAGGAATAAAGCATGACAACACAGTGTTATAGGGCACATGACATGTCAGGACTACAGGGAGAAGAAAGAGTGACAAGACAGTTATAGGGCACATGACATGTCAGTACTAGAGGAGAATAAAGCATGACAACACAGTTGTTACAGGGACACATGACATGTCAGGACTACAGGAGAAGAAAGCGTGACAACACAGTGTTATAGTGCACATGACATGTCAGTACTAGAGGAGAATAAAGCATGACAACACGTTGTTACAGGGACACATGACATGTCAGGACTACAGGAGAAGAAAGAGTGACAAGACAGTGTTATAGGGCACATGACATGTCAGTACTAGAGGAGAATAAAGCATGACAACACGTTGTTACAGGGACACATGACATGTCAGGACTACAGGAGAAGAAAGAGTGACAAGACAGTGTTATAGGGCACATGACATGTCAGTACTAGAGGAGAAGAAAGCATGACAACACGTTGTTACAGGGACACATGACATGTCAGGACTACAGGAGAAGAAAGAGTGACAAGACAGTGTTATAGGGCACATGACATGTCAGTACTAGAGGAGAATAAAGCATGACAACACGTTGTTACAGGGACACATGACATGTCAGGACTACAGGAGAAGAAAGAGTGACAAGACAGTGTTATAGGGCACATGACATGTCAGTACTAGAGGAGAATAAAGCATGACAACACAGTGTTATAGGGCACATGACATGTCAGGACTACAGGAGAAGAAAGAGTGACAAGACAGTGTTATAGGGCACATGACATGTCAGGACTACAGGAGAATAAAGCATGACAACACAGTGTTATAGGGCACATGACATGTCAGGACTACAGGAGAAGAAAGAGTGACAAGACAGTGTTATAGGGCACATGACATGTCAGGACTACAGGAGAATAAAGCATGACAACACAGTGTTATAGGGACACATGACAATGACACTTGGTAGCCTTGTTTTTAGTGTTTACTGTCGATTCATAAAAATGTAAGTCTTGAAGGCGTAAAACTATTTTACGATTTCAAACAATGGGAAGCCACACCCTTGTCGAGGCTCTCCACAGTAGATACTTACGTTCAGGTGTATTATTGTGTGATATTTTTGTTTTAATAATTATGATTGCAAATTTAATATCTAAGAATATTTTGAATATGGTATATGAACTTTGTATATATTTTTTTTTCAGACCGGACGAGTCAGAGGTAGTTTCCTATGAAAATTCAAGGGCACACGAGACAGAGTCAGTTATTCCAACACAGAAGAAAGATGGTGGTCACAAGACTGCATTTGACACAAAGTGGCAACAAAACCGTCCCTGGTCGAGGTACTCAGAAGATGACAAAAAGAAGGGAATGATGTTTTGTTCATTATGTTCTAACACCAAGGGCAGAAATGGACTTAATGTCGACCAAACACAGATTGAGTGGAGTCAAGTAAAGGAGCTTGACACCAGTTCACCCTCCACCATTTTGAAGACTCAAGCCTCAACTTGGAAACTTGAATCCAAACATTGTTCAATTACTGTCCATTCATGCAACTGTGATTGTCCACTTCTGAAGTTGAGAGAGTGTTCTCAAAAGTGAAACTGATTGTGACAGATCATAGAAACAGACTCAGTGTTCAAAATTGCAACGGACTTCTCATGATTAGCCTGAATGCATCGTCAGTTTCAGACATTGACTTGAAAAACGTTGTGAACAGATGCTTGGCAAGAAAGAAAAGAAGACTGTAAATTGTTGTTTGCGTGTTTTGTGAAATTGTAAACAAATGTGACAACAGGTTAATGTCTTGAAATGCTTTTTTTCCAAATTTTGATCTTAAAATACAAAATGAGAAGAGTAATAAATGAACTTTAGAAATAAAATTATAAGAGCATTTGACTTCATATACATTTTGTTATTGTTATTTTTTCAATAATCCTCACCAAAGTGCCCTTTTAGATTATGAAGTGCCCTTTTTGTTTAATTTACCCTGCCCTTTCTGAATCCTAGGGGGAACACTATGACATGTCAGGACTACAGGAGAAGAAAGAGTGACAAGACAGTGTTATAGGGCACATGAGGTGAGGATGAAATGGGGTTAAACATCACACTTAAGAATATTTCTCTCACATGAAAACGTGCATGCATGTGTATGTGTGGCGGCTTGTACTAGCCCAGACTTTTGCTGGTTTTATAGTGCTAGCTCACAGAGAACGTTTCAACCACTAGGCTACCCCACCACCCTTACTACAGGAGAATACAGCATGACCACACAGTGTTATTGAGGCACATGGCATGTCCCTCAATTTTAATTGGGTTAGATGAGATAATATATATAGCGTTCTGTCAATATGCTATTGATGCTCTTTAAAGACTGCAGGGCTCCAGATAAATTTTCAACATCAGGAGTACGTACTCCTTACTTTTTCAATGCAGGAGTACTGGAAAACCTTAACAGTACATTTAGAGTACTTAATGGAACTTAATGGAGTACCAGTAATCTTGTGTTTCGTTTCATAAATGCACATTTTAGACTGGTATAAAATAAATCAGTGTTGTCATAACATTGGCTCAACGACAATATCGTTTGTGGTTCTGCCCGACTGATGAAAATATTTCTCAATACATCAATGCCAATGATTTCCATAAGATACACATCCAAAACATCACTGGCATCAGAAGGGGCGTGTCATTCCATTCATTTGTCCGGTTGTGAAAACACTGACTACAGAGAAGAATATGCAATGACATTATTAAGAATCTAAGAATACACAGTGCCACGTATTAATAACAAACCACTTACACGGTGTTTACTCCTGTGTATATATCAGTGGGTAAATATGATTTAAGACTCACCAATAATCCCAGCAGAAATCAGATCACAGACCGCCGCCATATTGGACGACTGGGATCAAGCTAATACCGCATGAAATCAAAATGGCAGTAATGTATGTTTTCAAAACGGCATAATGCATCACCAGAACTGCATGAACTGCTCGTGTTTGACGAACAATATGAATGAATACCCCATAAATAAATATGGGGTCAGAAAATGGTATAATATATAATAGTAGGGGGTGTTGATACTAAATCGGGGCCTAGTTTATCGATTTTCTGACCCGCAGTGGGGGCCTGTGGATGACCTAGGTAGGTAGGTAGGTATACTAGGTAGGTATATTACCCCGAAAACACGTTACACCATGGTAGTTACATATAGTTTGCAATATGCATGCTATATTTATTTATGGGGTATTCATTCATATTGTTCGTCAAACACGAGTTTAGTATCAACACCCCCTACTATTATATAGTAGGGGGTGTTGATACTAAACCGGGGCCTAGTTTATCGCTATTATATAGTAGGGGGTGTTGATACTAAACCGGGGCCTAGTTTATCGATTTTCTGACCCGCAGTGGGGGCCTTATTCTGTCTCACAGTCCCTGAACCACATTATTTTCCCTACAGCCTAGCCTTCCCTGTAGTGCTAAAGCCCTAAACGAAGCGAGTCTAGATTTCCCCAGGTTCTGAATCTCTGGTCTCCCTAGGGCTCCTTTTCAATATAAATGGGCTTGTTTGTTACTATCAAAATTAAATATATTCAGAGACTAAGCCTTAGTCTATGGGGGCCTGTGCTATGCCCGTAAGTTCAATCACTCGATTGTGTGGTCAGTGACTGATTATTCATATTGTTTACAGACCGACCTCAACAAATGGAAGATTATTGTGTGAGGGGTTAAGTTACAAACAGAGTATGTCACCTCATTCAAAGACTATTCTAAGCAGAGATCATATACCGGTATATGGTCTCTGTTCTAAGCAACATGATGTGATCATAACGAATCATTTGTCTAGTGAAAACTGACCAGTAAAGTATGTGGTGCAAAACAATTTTTAAATCCTTCCATTAGTCAAAGTGTACATACACTTTACAGCGCTTAAGAACCTATATACCCGAAACGTCGCATTATAATATTATAAAGAAGTTGTCAGCCATAAGTGCATCTTACCTTTCTTATTATTCATCAACGTCTAAAATGACAATCAAACAGAGAAATTATAGTTGTTTGCTGTTCCTGAATGACGCTTTTAAACTTAAAATTGTTTGATTTGTAACATTTTGTCTGTATTTTTCTATAATGTATCTTTGGGGGTTAACAAAATTAGGTAAATGATACCAGTGTTCCCCGAGTTTATTCAGATAATTGGCATATGTGCACACTCAATTAATCCGACATTAAATTATCACGCGATTGCTGGTGTGTTGACGGTACACCATGGTTCCGTTTTAGCCACATTGTAACTGTTTTGATTAAGTGCCGTTTTAGCTTTACACTTTATGACTTGGCTTCTGTCTACAGACGCAGACAATTACCTAAAGTACCAGCTATCTCACACTTAATGAATTAGTTGTGTATATTGAGAATCAGTACCTAATTGGAATTGCGCATTTCTGTTTTCATATGATAATTTACTGATACGAGTATTTTGGGATATTTTTTCCAAAACGCAGTCCATTACGTAATGACAACCGGAATACTACTTACCTAAGACAACCAGCATGTGAGAATGTTGAACTTCAGTCGAATGTAATGTTTCATGTGTACTCTAAGGAAAGTTTATGTCCACTCGGGTCGGAGGAGTATTCCCATGTATTCAAACAAACAACTGGTCCACTTTGGGTTATCATTCATAAAATATTGTTATTTTACATTATTTCGTTTACATTATAATTTAAGCGCACCTCACCTAACCTCTCCAAAATGCATGTGCGCCATAACCTCCAAGAATGTACAATACTAACAAAATAAAGGATACCTTCTGTGTTATGTTATGTTACTGGAGCTGAAAGGGTCGTTATCGGCACAGGAACTACAGATGTGTATACAGAAATGTACCCTAAACAAAATCGAAATACAGAAACGTACGTACCCGGTACCCTAAACGGGGGATGAGTCCATATTCTGCAACCCAAAATCTAAACCGTATGTAGTTATTCCCGTTCAACTGATTGCGAGTGGTATTCTGCATCTCTGCATCTCGGAATATTGGTTACTGTGGCTGAAGGGGTCGTTGTCGGCACGGGTACTACAGATATGTACCCCAGGTACGTTTCTGTATACAGAAACGTACCTTGGCCATAATGAGAATACAGAAACGTACCCTAGGACGATTCCATTCCCATTGTGTCGTATTCTTGACCGGAACTGTCATACTGTTGTATTAGATACATTTGATTGCGTTATGTAAGTAATGAGAATACACAGTAACGGATATTTCGCGATGCACATGAATACCACTCGCAATCAGTTGAACGGGAACAACTACATACAGTTTCGGTTTTGGATTGCGTAATATGGACTCGTCCGCCTTTTAGGGTACCGGGTACGTTTCTGTATTTTGACTTTGTTTAGGGTACATATCTGTATACAGAAAGGTACCTGGGGTACGTATCTGTAGTACCTGTGCCGACAACGACCACTTCAGCGTTACTGTGTATGCTCATTTCTGATATATCGCAGTCAAATGTACTTAATACAACAGTATGACCAAGAAGTCACAAGGCACAAGGCGGAATGGACCTCGTGTCTTTGCGAGGATTAAAGATTTTATAAAATATATGCAAACATTTGAGATGACCCCCCCTTCTCGCAATGCTTCACAGTATAATAATACATTATGTATTGTACTGTGGAGCATTTCGAGTCGGGGGTCATCGTAAAAACTTCTTTTTTTTAAATCATTAATCCTCGCAAAGACACGAGGGCCTGTGGAATGGACCCGTGCCGACAACGGTGCCTTTGTAATTCAATGATGTTACGTTTGATTGGTCGGGAGTAACAAATTTATGGCTGTGTATAAATTTGCAAGCACTTCCTTAGGCGAGGTAAAATAAGTGAATTTGTTAATTTGCAAATGTTTACATGCCTTGCAAAAGTATGCATCTGTTATGATACCAGGGGTGTGTATTTGAGTAATGGAGTTAATGTATGCACGCCGGCGTCTTTATTATGAGGAACACAACTTAATACTGTTCAAGTTGACGCCTATAAAACCTACATTTTATGTATCACTAAATGAGGTTCCAAGATTTAAAAATGAAAAGTTGAAAAGATATCACATGAGCAGTAGTAAGACAAAAAGTAAGCGCACTTCAGTATGCTGAGGACTTTATAACACGCCTTGTGTCCGGCAAGCAGACATCTAATACCCAAAACATACCTGTAGACGTTGACAAAGTTGTCCTTACTCACTTGATAACGGTGTTAGCTACACTGAAAGTTGCATATTTTGTAACAAAGACGTTTCATATTCTTTAAACTCTATCAATTGAAGAAAGATTGGCATGTGTCTTAAATTGTGAAAATGTTTTAAAATGTGTCTTTTTTCAGTTCATGTGACAAATCCAGGCCACGGGGAAAATTACCCAAATGGTACCTTCTATGATCGTATTTAAGGTTTGAGAACGTTTCAAATAGCAGCGAATATATTTTCATTTCATAACTACGAAATGTTAGCCACATTTCAAAGGAATCAGCTCATATGTCATCATTCATGACTTTTTGCGTCTTAACTCACACTCAATATGCATTAATAACCATATGTGTGGAAAATAGTTTGTTGTTAAAACTCACAACAGTGTTGGAACAGAGCGACGCAGATATAGGTCCATATGGCGATACCTATGCGCTGCTCGGAGCTCGAGAGAGTACATGTGCGTGATTGCCGCCATTGTGGACGAGGATAACCGCAACGTATTTAGGCAAAAACGCTAAAGTTAGCGTTGAAGAAAGTCTAAAACAACGTCGTCCTTGATCCTAATGCCGTAAACATGCCGACATATTTTCAAAGGCCAGAAAATGCCCTAAAACGGGCTAATGGTAAGCAACTGAACTCACGATTATTAGACCATCGTCTCCATATGTCAGACATCACATGCGCTTAGCTACGAAGTTCCAACTTGCACAGTTTATGGACTGTATCTGAATATATTCTATGCAACATTTACAATTGGAATCTTGTCAGTGGCAAATGTGATAAATTTAGATCTCAGGCAGGTTAAATATGCCAACATATGTTTCATGCAATAGTCTTAATATGGGAATATAATTGTTTTAATCTATGCAGTTTTGCAACTAGACAAACCACATATGTTGGTGCGTTAAACGTGTATGTTCACCACTCACAATTAGATTTTACCAACTATCGGAAAACTTTCAGAAAAGTTTAATATCGAAACACATACATTTGAACATGACATTTTGATCATTGTGATTAGTTTTCTGAGGGCAAGTTATGCCTAACTCTATCCCTAGATCCTGAATGAAAATTGTAGCAATTATTCTTTAAGTGGTTCCAGGATATTATACAATACTATGGCTTTCTGACATGCCTATCTAATTATTGGAGAAGTAACTTTGAGCAAAATGTATGTTTTATGTAAGAAATCAGCATACTTTGTGTAAGTAGTGAGTGGCGACACATGTATGCATGGATTATTAACATAAAGTGTCCTGAACAAATTTAGAAGTGGTCAATGAATAAAGATGTGGGGTTTTTTTTGTATTGTCTGTGTAAATTAAAACTTGAATTTCCTTAAAACGTTTATGTAAGATATAGTTGATGACACAGCTGTAATATTCATAATCATAAATAATTCTTCCCATCAACGATATTTCTGATTATTGATATTTTTAGCCAGCCCTGATAATACCTCTGAAATCAAGAAAATATAAACTTTATAAAACCGAGGGACTACCAAGGGTATTCAGTTTGAAATTCCAGAAAATTCCCTTCTTGTGAACATAGTTGCATCAAGCTATGTCTATGGCATCATGCTATCCAAGACAGGCAAAATATTTGTCAATGGCATGAACAAACAATCCAAAGTGTCCCCTTATGTCTTGACAATTGCACGTTTGATTGAGATTCGTCAGCTTGTGTTTTCTCCCCTTGCAGAGTTCATCGATGTGGGCAAGAAGCAGAGGGCTTTGGATGCTCTGTACGATGTCATCAAGAGCAAGAAACATCGGACATGGCAGAAGATCCATGAGCCCATCATGGAGAAGTACCTGGAGCTGTGCGTGGAGCTCAGGAAGAGCCATGTTGCGAAAGAAGGCTTGTATCAATACAAGAATATCTGCCAGCAGGTGAATATCCCCATAGCTTCTGGCTAGATTTGTGAATAGACTCCCCTGTGTAGAAGTCTGACAGGTTCTTATTCAGGAGCCTTATGTTCTGTGAAATTTTTCCAATGTGCAGTGATCATGGTATCACTCGTCTGTCCACTTGGCTTGAGTATTGTTTATGATGCAAGGAAGACTTCTGTCCAGATCACAGTGGCTGTGCCATAGAAGTAAACGTGTTACTTTTAAGGCTTTAAGTTTAAACTTTACAAAAATGACTCCCTTAAATCTTAAATATTCTTCTAAAACCAACTGACTCATTACTTGCAGGTCAACATCCAGTCACTTGTTGATGTGGTGAGGAAGTATATCTCCCTGGCAGAGGAACAGACAGAATTGGCTCGGAAGGAGTCCCACCAGACTGTACTCGACATTGATGACCTTGACCTCCCGGACTCCCCAGAAAGGTGAACTTAATAATAAAGGATTGAGTTTGTGTTGACTTTATGATTCAACAATGTTAATTGCGAAAGTAGGTAGATGTGGTTTGACTTCTATTTCTGTTGACGTCATGATATGTGGTATGTTCGCAGTTTGCTGCTGAAGGCGGTCAGTGGAGAAGATACACAGGATCGAACTGACCGCGCCATTCTAACACCATGGGTCAAGTTTCTCTGGGAGTCCTACAGACAATGCCTGGACCTGCTCCGAAACAACTGTCGAGTGGAGCGACTGTACCAGGACATTGCTCAGCAAGGTACATGCAGAGATGCGAACATTAATGTGAATCCCCACCTCCCTTGGCGTGACAGTTAAATTTTTTGTCATTGTTGTTTCATGAATTACTCATGTGCATTAAATATCATTTTAAATTGTCAAGGTTGAGCTGAAACATTCTATTGCGAGACTGTGTTGATGTATTTATTAAATATCGCAATACACCTGCTGTACTCTGTAGCCCAATTTTTGTTCCATGTAATTGTAAAATTGCTAAAAATAACAGGAGACAACACTTTCTTATTAAGCGTCTCTCTTTTCAGCTTTCAAGTTCTGTTTGAAGTACGCCCGAAAGACTGAGTTCCGAAAACTATGCGACAATGTGAGTGGAAAGAAGTTTACTTCCTTACATTTTGAATCATTTGATTTTGTAAGATTTCTTTAAAGTTATGTCTTTTGTACAATAAAAGATCACTCCACATTAGTAGGGGTAACTTTGATGGTTGAACATTGTCTGAAATGTAATTGTTTTGCTTATTGCCCCCAACAGTTGCGTACCCATCTGGGCCATATCCACAAACACCAGCACCAGCAGACTGCCATCAATCTCAACAACCCTGATTCCCAGGCCATGCACCTGGAAACCAGGCTCGAACAGCTCAACAGTGCCATCAACATGGAACTCTGGCAGGTATGGAAACTCAGGCATCATGTCTTCTCCTTGTCGTTTAGTCATACCAGTACTGACTCATATTGGTCTAAGTGTAGACAACATTGCAATATTCAGCATTGTTCAATGTTTGGGTCTAACTGTATTGCTCATATTGGTCAAAATATTCATCAGGTCTGAGTATAAACATCTCAATCTAGTCTAAGCATAATCCATGTCTCAAATCTAGTCTAAGCATAATCCATGTCTCATATCTAGTCTAAGCATAACCCATGTCTCAAATCTAGTTAAAGCATAACCCATGTCTCAATCTAGTCTGAGCATATCTCAATCTTGTCTCAGCATAACCCATGTCTCAGACTAGTCTCAGCATAACCCATGTCTCAAATCTAGTCTAAGCATAATCCATGTCTCATATCTAGTCTAAGCATGACCCATGTCTCAAATCTAGTTAAAGCATAACCCATGTCTCAATCTAGTCTGAGCATATCTCAATCTTGTCTCAGCATAACCCATGTCTCAGACTAGTCTCAGCATAACCCATGTCTCAGACTAGTCTCAGCATAACCCATGTCTCAGACTAGTCTCAGCATAACCCATGTCTCAGACTAGTCTCAACATAACCCATGTCTCGATTACTAGTGGTCTACATAGTGTCTTGGACTAATTTAAGTCATGTTGTTGCAGGAAGCGTTCAAGGCAGTGGAGGACATCCATGGACTAATCATTCTGTCCAAGAAGTCCCCCAAGCCTTCCCTGATGGCGAACTACCTGCAGAAGTTTGGCCTGGTGTTCTGGAAGTCTGGCAATCACCTGTTCCATGCCTGCACCTTGCATCGCATCTTTCACCTGTCTCGGGAGCAGAGGAAGAACCTCACTACAGAGGAGCTACAGAAGTAAGTGGAGTACATACTGGCAAGTGTTAGTGTGAGGTCAGTTTGTTGTCAGTACAGAAGTAAGTGGAGTACATACTGGCAAGTGTTAGTGTGAGGTCAGTTCCTCAAGGTTTGTTCACTTCCTCCATCATCTGGGAAAATTTAAGTCCGACTGTTTCAGATGGATAATTTTCTCCACATTTTTCATTTTGGTGAAGGCAACGAAGGATGTCAAAATTAGCTAATTTTCCTGTCATGTTCATTGAAAAAAAACCCATATTAACTATAATGCTGCAAATTGTGTGTTTGTATTCACTGGAGATGGATGTACACTGCACATACATGAACCTTTAGTGATGATGACGACTTATTTCAAATGTGTGACAACGAATTCTGTTATTGACTGTTCATTGTTGAAGACCTAAGGGACCTCTTTCATGATTGTTATTGTTGATGAGCTAAGGGACCTCTTTCATGATTGTCAATGTGTGAAGCCCATTTCTGGTGTCCCCCTGTCGTGATATTGCTGGAATATTGCTAAAAGCGGATTAAAATCAAACTCGCTCACTTGCATGATTGTAATTGTTGATGACTTAAGGGACCTCTTTCATGATTGTAATTGTTGATGACCTAAGGGACCCTCTTTCATGATTGTAATTCATGAAGGAATCATTTGTGTGGAGGGACAAACTAGTTATAAGTAGTTTGCAGAAGACTAGTTGGCGTTACAATGACATTTGTGTTTTTGATTTGTGTGAGTTAAGTGAAAAATTTCATTTCAGAATGGCTTCTCGTGTTGTGTGTGCTACTCTGGCAATCCCCATCGCCACCTCACGCAACACAATGGGACAGCTCCTTGAGATGGATGAATCTGTGATGGAGAAACAGCGACGACTTGCAACATTGCTCATGTTGCCTGGCCCACCCACTCGTCAGGCCCTGATCAAGGATCTGGTAAATAGTAGACACATTGCTCATGTTGCCTGCCCCACCCACTCGTCAGGGCCTGATCAAAGATCTGGTAAATAGTAGACACATTGCTCATGTTGCCTGCCCCACCCACTCGTCAGGGCCTGATCAAGGATCTGGTAAATAGTAGACACATTGCTCCTGTTGCCTGCCCCGGCCACTCGTCAGGGCCTGATCAAGGATCTGGTAAATAGTAGACACATTGCTCATGTTGCCTATCTGTGTTTATCTTCTCAACATGTCAGACCCCTGAAGGTCTGGGTTAGAATTGGTCTTCAGCAGCCCATGCTTATCTTAGAGGCGATTGGGTGGTCAGGCTCGCTGACTTGGTTTACACATGTTATCATATCCCATTTGTGTGGATTCGATACTCATGAGGGGCGGTGGGGTAGCCTAGTGGTTAATGCGTTTACTTGTCACGCCGAAGACCCGGGTTCGAATCCTCACATTGGTACAATGTGTGAAGCCCATTTCTGGAGTCCCCCCTCGTGATGTTGCTGGAATATTGCTAAAAGCGGCGTAAAACCAAATTCAGTCAGTCAGTCGATATTCATGATGTTGATCACTGGATTGTCTTGTCCAGCCTTGATTATTTACAGTCCTCCACCATAGAGCTGGAATATTGCTGAGTGCAGCGTTAAAAAACAACCAATCCAATCTCAATATGTCTGACCAATTAGTTAGATTATGATTCTGACTACTATTAATTGTTGTGTCGTGCAGATGAAGTACAATGTGACACAATATGTCCATCCGGAGCTCCAGAACCTCTACCGCTACCTGGAGGTGGACTTCCATCCCCTCAGTCTGGTGCAAAGGGTCACACCCTGTCTGGAGTTCATTGGGAAAACCGAAGAACTGAGCTGTTATAACCCAGCCCTTGAAGACATTGTCATCACCAGAGTGCTCAAACAGGTACGTCATTAACAGGGTGCAGGAACATGTATGTTATAATTCAGGTGCTCAAATTGAAATCTCATAAGTAGAGTCCTCAAATAGGTATGTCATAACTCATGTGCTCAAATGGGTATGTCATAACTCATGTGCTCAAATAGGTATCTCGTAACTCATGTGCTCAAATAGGTATCTTGTAACTTGAGTGTTCAATGGGCACAATGTGTGAAGACCATTTCTGGTGTCCCCCTACCGTGATTTTGCTGAAATATTGCTAAAGCGGCGTTAAACCATACTCGCTCACTTGAGTGCTCAAATAAGTAAGTGATAACTCGAGTGCTCAAATAGGCCCATGTATGTCATCAGGGTGTACAAACAGGTGTGCCATCACATATTGACAATGTTTCAAATTCTATTTCCTTGCAGGTGTCGCAGGTGTACCAGACTGTTGAATTTTCTCGCTTTGCTTCACTTGTCCCATTTGCAACCAAGTTCCGTTTGGAAAGAATAATTGTGAACGCTGCCAAGAACCTGGAACTGCAGGTATGTGTGTCTGTATGTAGGCTGAGAGGCCAAACTAACTGTGATTTTTATCCCCCGCAACGCGTTTTTTGGGGGGGTATTAAAATGGACTCTGTCCGTCCACCCGTGCACATTTGTCTTTTCCGGAGCAGAACTCTAAAACCGTTCAATATTTCTTTACCAAACTTGGCACATAGATAGATCTGGTGGTGTACTGGTGCCTTTTGGTAGTTTTGGAATTCTGAATAAAACATTTTTGGCGTTTCCATGGCAACAAGTTCGACTTTGATTGAAATTAGTGGTAGTGCTCTTTTCTGGAGCAGCAGAACTCTAAAACCATTCAATATTTCTTCACCAAACTTGGCACATACATAGATCTGGTGGTGTACTGGTGCCTTTTGGTAGTTTTGGAATTCTGAATAAAATATTTTTGGCATTTCCATGGCAACAAGTTCGACTTAGACTGAAATTGGTGATAGTGCTCCTTTCTGGAGCAGAACTTTAAAAACCTTTCAATACTCTCCTTCCACTTTTCTATATACACATCTAAATATTTGACATAATCATAACTCGTAGACATAATCATGAAGAGTATTTTGCCATTGCGGGGGATATTGATGACTTTGTCTTCTTGTTGTTTTTAATTAGTAACTCTGAGAATAACATGAATAAAACAGAAAAAAGCTGAATATTGTGTATGACCTCAGTTGCTTTCTTCAACGAAGGGAGACCCATGAAGATCTGGGGTAGAATAGGTCTTCAGCAACCCATGCTTGCCACAAAAGGTGACTATGCTTGTCATAAGGGAGACTAATGTCATCGGTTCCCAATTGCGTAGATCGATGCTCATGCTGTTGATCACTGGATTGTCTGTTTCAGACTCGATTATTTACAGACCGCCGCCATATAGCTGGAATATTGCTGAGTGCGGCTTAAAATAAAACTCACTCAACGAAGGGACCCATGAAGATCGGGATTCGAATTGATCTTCAGTAACCCATTCTTGTTGTAAGAGGCGATTATCGGGATCGGTTGGTCTGACTTGGTTGACACGTCATGGTATCACAATTACGTAGATTGATGCTCATGATGTTGATCACTGGATTATCTGGTCCAGACTGGATTATTTACAGACTGCCACCATAAAGCTGGAATATTTCTGAGTGCGGCATATGACTAAACTCACTCTCTCAAACACAAAGGATCAGTTCTGAAATTTGAACTAATTCCCAACACAGCCCATTCCGTATGTGGGCTCCTTGTTTTGTCTCTCTGTGGTAATTTGTCGACGTCCATCCCAGTCCTGCAGTCCATGTTAATATTGATCTGTATTTTTGTTGCAGGTGCGGATTTGTCACAGCACACGGTCGCTGAGTTTTGGAACCAATCTTGGTGTGTCACAGAAGGAAGATGTACCCGAGGGCCCATTCATACAGAGAATGCCCAGCGAAAACATCCGGAACCAGTTGACATCACTGGCTGCTGCCCTTCAGATAGCTATGGACAAGATCAAGCCCGAGAATATTGATGTAGGCATCTTTTATGTTGTGATATCTTGTAAACTTTCTTGGGTCTCCAGAATTTCTTTAAAAATGAAGTCAATTACTTCAGTGCGATTTATCAAAATGGTTACAATTAAGTATTGGGGCGGTGGGGTAGCCTAGTGGTTAAGGCATTCATTCGTTACACCAAAGACCGGGTTTGATTCCCCACATGGGCACAATGTGTGAAGCTTATTTCGAGTGCCCCTGCCATGAAATTGCTGGAATATTGCTAAAAGTGGCGTAAAACTAAACTCACTACAATTAAGTGTAAAACATTCTTGGATTCTTTACCAGGGAAGCAAGTGTTTTCAGTTTGTTAGCCCGAAACTGTGTGTTTACAACGTGTGATGTGTTGCAGGAGACCAATGAGCTGCGGGCCCAGATCGTCAACAACTACAGGATGACCGGGCGGAAGGAGCACATGCGACTATTGCAACGGCGCCAGATCATTGAGGACAGGAAGGAGCAGCTGGAACACATGAATGATCAGAGGGTAGCTAGACTGTTGCTGTTACTTCATCGGGATCAGACTGCATAGGAATATAGAGAAGCATTTAAAAATACACCCAATGACCTCAACTATCCACACACACACCCACACCCCTCACACCACACCCCACACCCCTCACCCTATCCCTCACCCTCTCCCTCACACACACTCCTCACCCACTCACCTCACCCTCCCTCACCCTACCCTATCCCCACACCCTATCCCTCACCCTATCCCTCACACTTTCCCTCACCCACACCCACACCCACACCCTATCCCACACCCACACCCTATCCCACACCCACACCCACACCCTATCCCTCACCCACACCCTATCCCTTACCCTACCCCTCACCCTCACCCACACCCTCACCCTATCCCTCACCCTATCCCTCACCCTCACCCTATCCCTCACCCTGAACCCTGTAATCCCACACCTTTTCCCTCACCTCACCCTCACCCTCACCCTCACCCTCACCCACATCCTTACCAAACCCACGTAGCCTAGTGGTTAAAGCGTTCACTCGTCATGTCGAAGACCCGAGTTTGATTCCTCACATCGGTGCAGTGTATGAAGCCCATTTCTGGTGTTCACCGTCGTGATAATGCATGAGTATTGCATTAAACTAAACACACTCACTCACTTTTCCACAGACAGCCTCACTCCAAAATCAACGCCGATGCCAACTCAATAGCCTTGCAGCAGCATAATCTGATCTTGTTTGTTCACTAGTCCTTGCTAACATTTAACAAAAACAAATATGGCAATTTTGTATTAGTTCTGATGATGTGTTTGATATATTTTGGCAAGGACTATGGACTAGTGGCAGTTTCTATCCTGCTCTTTTTCTAAGTGAAGTTTCAGAAGTAGTGTTGTTGATGATTAGTTGAGATGCTGGCAGTGATATTACAGAGGTGAGGAAGATGAATTTTATACATCGTTTGAAAAGATGGAGTTGATGAGTTAGGGTAGATTTTCTGTGTACAAGGTGTCAGAAATGTGACGTTGATGTTGCAGGAGAAGGAGGAAATGGAGCAGGTGGAGTCACAGCGCCGCAAGGCGTCCGAGGCGGAGATGGCTCGTCTGGAGCGTGAGGCGGAGGAGAGAAAGAAGCAGCGGCAGTTAATGGAGCACCAGGAAATCAAACGCAAACATGTTAAGGAGAGGATCGAACAGCTGAGGAAGACGGACCTTGGGGCCAGGATCTTCAAGGATATTGATGAGGAGGTGGGTGCAGCATGACAGCTATAGTCTGTTTGCAGTGAAAACGTACCGGAGAATTGCACTTTAAACAAAAATGTAAATCAAATAAAGTGAAATTAAGATTGCGAATCCTCATAATTCTACCTTGCCAATTGAACATTTAAATCTTAGATTTTTTTTATTCAACTTATGAAAAAGTTGTTTAACAAACGATCATAGTTTCAAATCGCTTGTATTGGTTTGTATTACAAGGGGGTAAGCGCAGTAGTTGGAGAAGTGAAACAAATGCACGTGCGGTATGTGATGAGCGTTAACTTAGACCAACCCTACTTGATCTCGGTGTTTCATTATATGTGCATACCCCGTTGTATTACAAACCATTAATACCGATTTGAAACTATGATCGTTTGTTAAACAACTTTATTTGATTTACTTTTTTGTTTAAAGTGAAATTTATCGGTACCTTTTCACCGCAAACAGACTATAAGTCTAACCCCTCACAATTTGGTTGGGTCATATGAGTAATGGGGTTTAAAAATCTTTGAATAAATAGTTACATCTTTTGGTGTTGGGAGGGCACTGGGGTAGTTCAACATTTAGAATTAATTTGTGTTGTGGTGAGAACCTGTGAGATTGTTCATATAGAAAATAGGAAATATCACAAGGTTGAAATCCCATGTGAATTGGTCAAAATAACTTTGTTGTCATAAGAAGGGACATGTTGTCAGCCTCCTTGAAATGATTGACTTTCATTTGGTGATAATTTATGCTGGTGGACGTTGCTTATGATATTGACCACTGGTTTGCCTGGTCCAGATTTGGACATGATGTGATGTAGCAGGAAGCTTGATAACTGGATGTTAACCCACATTAACTGACTGACAATTGCAGGAGTTTGCGGAGCTGGATGTGGATGAGATCATGGCCAAGCAGGTGGAGCAGCTGGAAAAGGAGAAGAAGGAGCTGCAGGAGCGACTCAAGACTCAGGAGAAGAAGGTGAGGAGGAGGATTAGGGCCGGAGGGAGGTTGGGAAGATGTTTTGTGGTGGCAGGGAGGTATGAGTAGAGGGCTTGTGGTGGGAGGCGGGTTTGGGGAGGGGGCTTATTGTGGGAGGGAGGTTTGGGCAGGGGGCTTATTGTGGGAGGGAGGTTTGGGCAGGGCTTATTGTGGGAGGGAGGTTTGGGCTGAGGGCTTATTGTGGGAGGGAGGTTTGGGCAGGGCTTATTGTGGGAGGGAGGTTTGGGCTGAGGGCTTATTGTGGGAGGGAGGTTTGGGCTGAGGAGCTTATTGTGGGAGGAGGTTTGGGCTGAGGCTTATTGTGGGAGGGAGGTTTGGGCTGAGGGAGCTTATTGTGGGAGGAGGAGGTTTGGGCTGAGGAGCTTATTGTGGGAGGGAGGTTTGGGCTGAGGGCTTATTGTGGGAGGGAGGTTTGGGCTGAGTGCTTATTGTGGGAGGGAGGTTTGGGCTGAGGGCTTATTGTGGGAGGGAGGTTTGGGCTGAGGGCTTATAAGGCTTGGGAATTCTAAGTCACAAGGTGTGGACACAACTACTGATGCATGACAGGATACACCCTTAGCTCCCTGTTGTAGCACAAGACCATGAGAAAGCATAACTGTAATTTACCTTGGTTACTAACTTTGTGGTCCAGAGCTTTGCCAGCCTTTCTGTGTCGAGTTCCAGATGGTGTTCATGGTACAAAATGGAGGTCCCAGACAAATACATTTATTTTCATTCTTGTTTTGTTTTATTTGTTATGAAATATCTCATAATTTGACTTTGTTTTTTTTAACAATTTGTTTGTTGAAATTCAACTTGAAGATGCACTTTACCCAAGGCATGAAGATCAGTGTCAGAATTAGTTTCAAGCAACCTTTGCTTGTCATGAGAAGACAACTAACAGGATCGGATGGTCAAGCTCACTGGTTTATTCATTTCATTGTATCCCAGTAGAGTACATCCGTGCTCATAATGTCGACCACTCATAGACAGTTATTTACAAATTGCCATCACACCGCTGGAAAAGAGCTCAGTGTGGCAAGCAAATCAACCTTACTCCACCGAGGACAAGTGTACATGGATATTGTGTATTGTAGGTGGACTTCCACCAGAGGGCGTTGCGTCTGTCGGAAATCCCACTTCTGCAGCAGCAGTACATGAATGAAAGCATCCAGGCTAAGGACTTCTGGGAACATCAGGAAGTGGAGAGGGTGAGTCAACATTGCTGTCTACTTGGATGAATATGGGCTGTAGGTAGCCAACTGGTTGAGGTGTTGACTCTTTAAGACCCAGGTTTGATTCCCTGCCATGAGAAGTTAGTTCAGGTTTCACCAGTCTATGATATGGCTGTAATAATGGTATGTAAGTAAAATCCTGCTCACCTACTCTGAATGGTTTTCTGACTTTATATAGCGGGTCAGTGAATCGAGAGTGTGTAGAGCTTTTGAGGTTTGAGGTTGGGAAGTCAGTGTTTGATGGTTTCTTCTAAGAAAGCAGAGATGCCAACCACTCTGATTTTAGCGGAGTTACTCTGATTTTCAAATACAAAATACGCTCTCCGGTTTGTCTTGAAAAAACTGATTTTTGTGAAACAATTCTGAAATGTTTTTGACGGTATACAATTTCATAAGTAACCAGTGATTTGAGTCGACACTGGTAAAAGCATTCGGAAGCTTAGCGTGTGATCTTTGGGGGTCTCTATTGTGTATATTGCGTTTTATTGACGACGATGACAATGGATGCATCAAGAATTTATTTATTTATTTTATGGGAGGGAGAGGGAGTAACAACTTGACCATAGTTATTGTAGCCTTGCAGGAGGAAGGGGGGTTTGTCAACGCTTTGACTCTTGGAGGATAAGTTTGTCAATGCCTCAAATCAGATATGGAAGCATTCATTATTGATTGTGGTTCTGGTTGATTTGAATTTTGGTCCTTGTACAGATTGAAGCTTTGAAGAAAGAAAGACATCATGCCTTGGAGACCCAGAAAAGACTTAGCCGAATTATGGACGACAAGAACGAATTCCTCGGTCGCCTGAGGGACGCCAGGCGATCAGACTACGAGGTAATCACTTCAGTCTATTCCAACTTAACCAAGCAGGGTTTGTTAACAAAGCCTGTTTCATATTTTGATAGTTGAAAGTTTTCTGCCCATCATAGGCGTTGTCATGGTTACTGATGTTTCTGTGATGTCAAGGTGTGGCATATATGAAACAGTCCATCATAGGCGTTGTCATGGTGACCCATGTTGCCATGATGTCAAGAATGGACGAACATGTCTGAGGGTAAAAACTTCTGGAAATCACACACAATCCACATGTTCTACAGTACTTTTCTTTTCTGAAGACATTTGCTCTGTGTTAAGAGGCGACATATGACTAAATAATAACTGCATTTAAAACATAGGTTTGTCATGAAAACGCACGCACACGAGCACACGCACGCACACTTGCACGTCTTAGCAAGAGAGGCTGAAGTGCTTCTTAAATAGTGAATAAACTGGGTGTTCCAGTTGTTTAATATTGAAGATGCTATATGTGCATATTGTTAGCTGTTGTACGAGCTGGGTGTCCTGATTGTAAGTGGTGAATATGCTAGGTGTCCTGATTGTAAAATGGTGAAGAAGCTAGGCCTGATTGTAAAATGGTGAATAAGCTAGGCGTCCTGATGGTATTTAGGGGTGAACTCTTTTGGATATAGCCTGTGGTCCAAGTTTGCCTCAAGTTCGATTCCACCATGGTACAATGTTTGGAGCCTGTTCACTGTGCCAAGCAGTGATATTGCTTGAATGTTGCTTGAGACTGTGAAAAAAATATTTCTCATTCCCTCTTTCCTGAGAGTAGATCTGTAGTTGTGTACGATTATGCAATTCACTGCTTTGGTATTGAATTTGAGTGGTGGGAATTTTGGAAGTACATCTTAATTGAATGAGTTAAGATTTCTAGTCACATCTGCAGTGTTTCAGCCATATGGTGACCATCAAATTGAGAAGGTGTGTCATATAACTGATGATGATAAGTAAAGAAGCATTTCTGTGGTATACTGTACAATGGACAATACTGCCGGAAACAATTCATAAGGTCTGCTGAAAAACATTTTTTCATGCTTTTAGTTGATATCTTGCCCATTATAGGCGTTGTCATGGTTACTGATGTTTCTGTGATGTCAAGGTGTGGCATATATGAAACAGTCCATCATAGGCGTTGTCATGGTGACCCATGTCTCCATGATGTCAAGAATGGACAAACACTTCTCGTATTAATTGATATCCTGGTTTTTGTTTGAGTTGAAGGGCTGAATAGAATATTTGTGTACGTCAAGTGCTATAAATAGATTGTGTAGGTGTACTTTTAAAAAAAAAATTTAATGCAACTTCTGTTTATCTTTGTGGATTTCTAAGGTGATAATGATGAGGTGGAGGATGTTGATGTAACACCGATTCAGATTGGTTCATTTTATATTTAATTGACTGATTATCTTTCAAAATGTCATTAAGACTGCCTCCGTGGTGTAGTGGTTAGAGCATCCGCCCGGAGAGCGGAAGGCCGCGGGTTCGATCCCCAACTGCGTCATACCAAAAGACGTTAAAATATGGTGCTTGTTGGTCCCTGCCAGGCGCTCGGCATTAATGGGTACAACAAGGACTGGTCGGCTCGGAGTCATTTTACTGTGTCTGAGTGGGGTATTCATGCTTCACTGCGGCATGGTATCTCAGTGGGCTAGCACTATAAAACCAGCTTCAGTCTGGGCTAGTACAAGCCGCCGCACATACACATACACACGCATGCACGTCGTCATATGAGCGAAATATTCTCAAGCACGACGTTAAACCCAATTTCACCTCATCTCACCTCACGTCACCTCAAAATGTCATTAATTTGTTTTCCAAATTTGGTAGTCATAGTTATTTCCGATCAAAAAGTGCCAAGGGAATGAGGTTATTCTGTATTTAGTTCATGGGACTATTGTCATTGTATAAATGATCATCCAAATATTGACAGTTGTCTTATTTTCTGGAATGATCATGCTGAAAGGTTTATAGTGTACCAATATTATTTATTCTTTAATCTCGCAACAGGCAAACTTAAAGGACTTTGAGCAGAAATTGGGAGAGGAACGAAAGCGACGTCTACTAGAACGCAAAGACCGTCGCAAGGAAGAGAGAAGGAGGAAATGGATTGAAGAAAAGGAAGAAGCAGTTCAGCGGGCCAAGGATGAAGCCCTTAAGAGAGGTAAGGGGTGGTGGGTAGCCTAATGGTGTGAAGCCCATTTCTGGTGTCCCCTGAAGTAATATTGTTGGACTATTGCTAAAAGCAGCGTGAAACCAAACTCCCTCACTCGCAAACAAACTTTGCTTGTTGTAGGTAGGAGGCCACCTAGTTGATCGAGGGTCTGGCTCACTGAAGTGCATGTCAGTTTACCCTGATAGTAATGCTCACAGTATCGATCACTGGTTTTCTTAAGCAACACGTTTTGAAGAGGGTATAATACGATTGTTCTTCCATGTAAGATGTTCATTCTAAAAGCGACCCGTGAAGATCCGGGGTAGAATAGGTCTTCAGCAACCCATGCTTGCCACAAAATGTGACTATGCTTGTCGTAGGAGGCGACTATGCTTGTCGTAGGAGGCAACTAACGGGATCGGGTGGTCAGGCTTGCTGACTTAGTTGACACATGTCTTCAGGTTCCCAATTGCGCAGATTGATGCTCATGCTGTTGATCACTGGATTGTCTGGTCCAGACTCCATTATTTACAGACCGCCGCCATATAGCTGGAATATTGCTGAGTGTGGGGTAAAATAAACTCACTCACTCATAGATGTCCATTATTAACATGGATACTACAGTCAGTCACAGTACATTGACACTATGTCAACAGATCTTGTTTCATCCCTGCAATGCTGAACGCACTCATTCTAAAAGCATACAATATTTCTTCACCCAATTTTGGCACATGAATTTCTTCAGTATTTTTAAAATTCTAAGGCAACAACTTTGACTTTGTTGAAAATGGCAGTTCTGCTTGTTTTAGAGCAGGTATTGGAAACAATTCAATACTTCTCTAAAATTTGCACAATGATAGCTGTTGTGATGATGATTTGGCGATTTAACGTGAGATGTTGTGGTGAACGTGTGCCTTTTTATACAATTGGACTTTTTCAACAACTGCTTTTCAAGTTTCCATGGCAGTGATATTCTAGATTTATTAAAGACAGATATGTACCAATCTGGGTGATATGATAATGACTTTTCCTCTTGTTTGTCTGGTCAGAAAATGAGTGTTGACAGGCTTCTGTTTGACAGTTGGAACTAAGCTAAGTGTGGTGCCAGAAATCTGATGATTGGCAGTAATAATTGAACTCAAATGTATGGATTTGTGGTGGTGTGTCGTCCTGTGCATAGAACTCAGGTCACAATCAGGTCAAATTAAGCAATGTGGGGCGCGGAGAGTCATTGGATGGGTGACCGTGTTTGGCAGCTTGACTCCTGAGAGTTTCTCGGACTTCAGTCCTGCCCCACAACGAAGCACATGTGATACATGTGGTCTCACCTTAGGCAAGTGAGTTTGTTCAAAATTGCCTCTGTTCACCCAGTAGAAAATACGTACCCGGTGGGATAAGTCATGTGACTATAACCTATCGCCTAACAGGCAGCGTGTGTTATCCAGGGTAATAATGTGTTTGCCATAATAGCATGCTTACGAGCGCGGATAAGCGCATTATACATATGCACTATTGTTAGTATTATTATTATTTCAGAACGTGAGGAGAAAGAGCAGCTGGAAAGGTTAAAGCGTGAGGAGGAAGAGCGCGAATATAACGAAAAGCTGGCGAAGCTGGAGGAGCAAGCTGAGAAACAGAGACAGCGTGAACGGGAAATAGAGGAAAGGGAGGCCAAGCGACGACAGGAGGAGAGCAGCAAAGGGTGAGCAGCCAAAATTTGTCTCAACACGCCTGAAGAACTTTATGATCAGGTGTATAGGATGGGGTCAGGTGTGTTGGGTAGGTATGCCAATCATAGGCGTTGTCATGGTGACTTGTGTTTCTGTGATGTCAAGGTGTGGCATATACCAAACAGTCCATCATAGGCGTTGTGGACAAACAAGAGTGGACCCATGTCACCATGATGTCAAGAAGTGGACAAACATGTTTGACAGGTAGGTAGGGGTCATGTGTGTGGTCTAGGAGGTAGCTGTGTCCGGGTAGGTAGGGGTGGGGCAGGTAGGGGTGGGTAGGGTCCAGGTGTGTTGGGTAGGTAGGGGTCAGGTGTGTGTCATGCAGTCAGGCAGTCAGGTAGGGAGTCAGGTGGGAGGTAGCTAGGGGTCATGGTGTGTCGGGTAGGGGGCTGTGTGAGAGATGGGTAGGGGTCAGGGGTAGGTAGGGGTCAGGTGTGTGGGTCAGGTAGGGGTAGGGTGTGTCAGGTGTAGGTAGGGGTCAGGTGGGTTGGGGTCAGGGTAGGTAGGGGTCAGGTAGGGGTCCAGGTGTGTGTCGGGTAGGTAGTCAGGGTGGGTGAGTCAGGTAGGTAGGGCAGTCAGGTAGGGGAGTCAGGTGTGTGTGGGGTAGCTAGGGGTCATGGTGTGCAGGGGTCAGGTGTTAGGGGGGTCAGGTGTGTGAGCCTGGTAGGGGTCAGGTGTGTGAGGTAGTAGGGGTCAGGTGTGTTGGGTAGGTAGGGTCAGGTGTGTCGGGTAGGTAGGGGTCAGGTGTGTCAGGGGTAGGTAGGGTCAGGTGGGTCGGGTAGGTAGGGGTCAGGGGTGGAGTGTAGGTCAAGGTGTGTGAGGGTAGGGAGTCAGGTGTGTGAGGTAGGTAGGGGTCAGGTGTGTGTAGGTAGGTAGGGGTCAGGTGTGTGGGTAGGTAGGGTAGGTGTGTCCGGGTAGGGTGTCAGGTAGGGAGTCAGGTGTGGTGAGGTAGCTAGGGGTCATGGTGTGTTAGGGTAGGGAGTCAGTGCGTAGGTAGGGTCCAGGTGTGTGAGCTAGGTAGGGGTCAGGTGTGTGAGCTAGGTAGGGGTCAGGTGTGTGAGCTAGGTAGGGGTCAGGTGTGTGAGGTAGGTTGGGATCAGGTGTGTCGGGTAGGTAGGGGTCAGGATAATTGGGGTACGTAGGGGTCAGGTGTGTGAGGTAGGTAGTGAGTCAGGTGTGTGAGGTAGGTAGAGAGTCAGGTGTGTTGGGTAGGTGTCTGGTGTGTCTGGTAGGGGTCTGGTGAATACAGTAAGGGGTCAGGTCTGTCTCACCAACAAATATTAACTATGTCATGCTTTGAAAAATCCAGTGTTCTATCCCTGCACATAACAGATACCCACTTACCATGTTTACTTGCACAAGGATCTAGTTGTTATCTTGTGTGACCTGGCTGAAATTAAGTTAAGAATTGAATCAGAATTATAATCTGCCCATCATAGGCGTTGTCATGGTGACTTGTGTTTCTGTGATGTCAAGGTGTGGCAAATACCAAATAGTCCATCATAGGCGTTGTCATGGTGACCCATGTTACCATGATGTCAAGAGTGGACAAACATGTTTGACATGAAAGTTGTTTCTTGCGGGGCAGATTGACTTCCTCATCTAAGGTTTTTTCCTAATAAACCCCTCCATGGCCTAGTTTTGGGAAGCCAAAAGTTGTCTCCAGACACCTGAATAACTTCATGATAAGATAGTCGGGTGTGTGAGGCAGGAAGGAGTTAGGTGTGTCGGGTAGGTAGGGGTCAGGTTTGTCGGGTAGGTAGGGGTCAGGTGTGTGAGGTAGGTAGGGGTCAGGTGTGTCGGGTAGGTTGGGGTCGGGTAGGTGTGAGTCAGCTGTGTGGGGTAGGTAGGTAGGGAGTCGGGTGTGTCGGGTAGGGGTCTAGTGTGTCTGGTAGGGGTCTGGTGAATACAGTAGGGGGTCAGGTCTGTCTCACCAACAAATATTAACTCTGTCATGCTTTGAAAAATCCAGTGTTCTGTCCCTGCACGAAACAGATACCCACTTACCATGTTTACTTGAACAAGGATCTAGTTGTTATCTTGTGTGACCTGGCTGAAATTAAGTTAAGAATTGAATCAGAATTATAATCTGCCCATCATAGGCGTTGTCATGGTGACTTGTGTTTCTGTGATGTCAAGGTGTGGCAAATACCAAATAGTCCATCATAGGCGTTGTCATGGTGACCCATGTTACCATGATGTCAAGAGTGGACAAACATGTTTGACATGAAAGTTGTTTCTTGCGGGGCAGATTGACTTCCTCATCTAAGGTTTTTTCCTAATAAACCCCTCCATGGCCTAGTTTTGGGAAGCCAAAAGTTGTCTCCAGACACCTGAATAACTTCATGATAAGATGTATGCTGTAGGGGCCAGGTGTGTATGGTAGGGGTCAGTTGTGTCGGGTAGGCGGTCAGGTACGGAGTCAGGTGTGTGAGGTAGGTATGTCGGGTAGGTATGTCGGGTAGGTTGGGAGTCAGGTTTGTCGGGTAGGTAGGGGTCAGGTTTGTCGGGTAGGTAGGGGTCAGGTTTGTCGGGTAGGTAGGGGTCAGTTGTGTCTGGTAGGTAGGGTTAAGGTGTATCAGGTAGGTAGGGTCAGGTAGGTAGGGGTCAGGTGTGACAGGTAGGTAGGTAGGGAGTCAGTTGTGTCGGGGTAGGTAGGGAGTCAGTTGTGTCGGGGTAGGTAGGGGTCAGTTGTGTCGGATAGGTAGGGAGTCAGTTGTGTCAGGGTAGGTAGGGGTCAGTTGTGTCGGGTAGGTAGGGGTCAGTTGTGTGAGAGGTACGTAGAGGTCAGGTGTGTGAGGTAGGTAGGTCAGGTGTGTGAGGTAGGTAGGTCAGGTGTGTGAGGTGTGTGAGTTGTGTAGGTGGAGTCAGGTGTGTGTGTAGGTGGGTAGGGAGGTCAGGTGTGTGAGGTAGGTAGTGTGAGGTAGGTAGGTCAGGTGTGTGAGGTAGGTAGAGTCAGGTGTGTGAGGTAGGTAGGTCAGGTGTGGGTGGTGAGTCAGGTATGTGGGGTGGGTAGGAATCAAGTTTGTTGGGTAGGTAGGAGTCCAGTTGTGTCGGGTAGGTAGGGAATTGGGTAGGTAGGGTCAGGTGTGTCGGGTAGGTAGGGTCAGGTGTGTGGGTAGGTAGGGGTCAGTGTGTCGGGTAGGTAGGGGTCAGTTGTGTCTAGTAGGTAGGGAATCAGGTTTGTCCCAGGTAAAGTCAGGTGTGTCTGCGGTAGAGCAGGGAATCAGGTTTGTCGGGTAAGTCCAGGTGTGTGAGGTAGGTAGGTAGGTCAGATGTATTGGTAGGTAGAAGTTAAGTGTGTGGGTAGAAGTAGGGTTCAGGTGTGTCCAGGTGAGTAAGGTTCATAGGTGTCGGGTAGGTAGGGGTCCAGTTGTGTGAAAGTGCGTAGAGGTCAGGTGTGTGAGGTAGGTAGGTAAGGTATGTCGGTAGGTAGGGATCAAGTTTGTTGGGTAGGTAGAAGTCAGGTGTGTATGGTAGGTAGGGTAGGTCAGTCAGTGTCCGGGTAGGTAGGGTTAAAGGTGTGTTAGGTAGGTAGGGGGTCCAGGTTTGTCAGGTAGAAGTCATGTGTGTGAGGTAGGCAGGAATCGGGTTTGTATCCCGGGTAGGTAGGGGTCCAGGTTTTGGTGGGTAGGGTCCAGTAGGTAGTCAAGTTGTGTGGGTAGGTAGGAGTAGGGTAAGGTAGGAGTCAGGTAAGTGTGAGGTAGAGTAGGGTCAGGTGTGTGAGGTAGGTAGGAGTCCAGGTGTGTGAGGTAGAGTAGGGTCAGAGTGTGTGAGAGTAGGGTCAGTTGTGTGGGTAGAGTAGGGTCTCAGTTGTGTCTAGTAGGTAGGTAGGGGTCAGTTGTGTCCTGGTAGGTAGGGTCCAGTTGTGTCCGAGGGTAAGTAGGAGTCAGGTGTGTGAGGTAGGTAGAAGTCAAGTTTGTTGGATAGAGTAGGTCCAGTTGTGTGAGTAGGTAGAATTCCGGGTAGAGTAGGAGTTCATAGGTTTGGGAATAGGTAGGGTTCATAGGTTTTAGGAATAGGTAGGGAGTCCAGTTGTGTGAGATGCATAGAGAGTCAGGTAGGGAGTCAGGTGTGTGAGGTAGGTAGGGGTCAGGTGTGTCGGGTAGGTTGGGGTCGGGTAGGTGTGAGTCAGGTGTGTGGGGTAGGTAGGTAGGGAGTCGGGTGTGTCGGGTAGGTAGGTAGGGAGTCGGGTGTGTCGGGTAGGGGTCTAGTGTGTCTGGTAGGGGTCTGGTGAATACAGTAGGGGGTCAGGTCTGTCTCACCAACAAATATTAACTGTCATGCTTTGAAAAATCCAGTGTTCTGTCCCTGCACAAAACAGATACCCACTTACCATGTTTACTTGCACAAGGATCTAGTTGTTATCTTGTGTGACCTGGCTGAAATTAAGTTAAGAATTGTATCAGAATTGTGAGGTAGGTAGGTCAGGTGTGTGAGGTAGGTAGGTCAGGTGTGTGAGGTAGGTAGGTCAGGTGTGTGAGGTAGGTAGGTCAGGTCTGTGAGGTATGTAGGTCAGGTATGTAGGGAGTCAAGTTTGTTGGGTAGGTAGGGGTCAGGTGTGTCCGGGTAGGTAGGGTCCAGTTGTGTCGGGTGGGTGGTCCAGGTGTGTGAGGTAGGTAGGTAGGAGGGAAGTTAAGTGTGTGTGGGTAGAGTAGGGTTCAGGTGTGTGTGGGTAGAGTAGGAGTTCAAGGTGTGTCGGGTAGGGTAGGGATCATAGAGTAGTGTCAGGTAGGTAGGGGTCAGGTGTTGAGGTAGGTAGGGGTCAGGTGTGTCCCGGGTAGGTTGGGGTGGTGGTAGGTGTGTGAGGTAGCTAGGTCAGGTGTGTGAGGTAGGTATGTCTGGTAGGTAAAGTCAAGTTTGTTGGGTAGGTAGAAATTGAGTGTGTTGAGTAGGTCGGTAGAATTAGGTGTGTTGAGTAGGTAGGGGTTAAGTTAATGTGTGTTGAGTAGGTAGGGGTCAGGTGTGTGCCGGGTAGAGTAGGGGTCAGTTGTGTCGGGTAGGCAGGTTTGTCGGGTAGGTGGTCAGGTGTGTGAGGTAGGTAGGTAGGGAGGGAGTTAAGTGTGTCGGGTAGGTAGGGTTCAGGTGTGTCGGGTAGGTAGGGTTCATAGGTGTCGGGTAGGTAGGGTTCATAGGTGTCGGGTAGGTAGGGATCACTTGTGTTGGGTAGGTAGGGGTCAGGTGGGTCGGGTATGCACACACACACACACACACACACTAATATGAATCCTGATTGTCCTGTTTTTGACCATGAACATGATCTGTACTCAGAATTGTTGGAGTAACGAGACTTGACTGTATGTGATATTGCTGGAAAAATGCTTAAAGCGGCTTCAAACTAAACTCACTCACGTTTGTTTGATAAACTGTGCTACAAAGATGTGGTGTTCCACTGTTATATCACTTAATGATCCTCTGTCGTCCCTGCTAGTGACAGGGAACATGCTGCACCACCTGAGTGGAGAAGGGGAGGTGAAGCTGAGGAAGAGAGGAAGGCGTGGCGCCCCAATCCAAGTAAAGTCGGATGGAGGGAGCGTGAAAAGGAACGAGAGCAGAGTTGGAACAGGCCAGGCATGGAAGATGGGTAAGACATAGCTGCAGTACAAGAGTTCTGGATCCTGGTTTTTCGAATGGGTATACAAAGAGGATCTTTTTAGTTCTGTGTCATACAGTGCTATTGGGGAGAGAGGTGAGGGAGTGGGTGGAGAATTTGAAGTAAATCAGTTTGTCACTTTTTCCAGCTTTTTAGGGGCCTTTGGGTATTCCGGTGGTCATTCATGTCAAAGACCCATGGTCGATTCTCCATGGTTGGTTGGTTGGTTGGTTGGTTGGTTGGTGTCACGCTCAGCAATATGCTAGCTATATGGCAGCAGTCTGTAGATAATCGAGTCTGGACCAGACAATCCAGTGATCAACAGCTTGAGCATCGATCTATGCAATTGGGATACGATGACATGTGTCGACCAGGTCAGCGAGCCTAACCACCTGATCCCGTTAGTTGCCTTTGATGACAAGCATGGATTGCTGAATACCGATTATAACCATACAATATGTGACCTTTATTCGTATTCACTGATATTGCTGGAATATCGCTCATAAAACTATACTCACTTACTCACTCACCCACTTGCTCACTCTACCTCTGACCATCCTGTCTGCTGAACTAATGTTCTGTATCGTTAACTTATTTTGTAATGTGGATGAATGACTGATGAATGTTACATATTGTTTAGAATGAATAAGTATTTCATTTTAAGTGATTTTCAAATCAAGGAAATTAGCCTTAATTTACAGGTAATGTATTAATGATGTAAGAGAAGCAATTCTCAAAGCAGTATGCACATTAGGAACTGTACTTGTTGAATGCTGTGTCTAGTCCTCTCTAGTAGTTCTGTCTGCTTCAGTCAGGATGACAGGCCATCATGGCGTGAAAGAGGAGCAGCACCACCTCGGGATGACTTCCGTGACTCGAAAGGACCTCCATCTGATGAAAAAGACTTCGGTGATCGAGGGCCTCAAAGAGATGACAGAGATTTCCGTGACCGAGGGCCACCACGAGAGGAAAGAGACTTTGGTGATAGAGGAGGGCCGAGAGACAGGTTCGGTGATAGAGGTCCCCAAAGAGATGACCGATTCGGTGACCGTGATGGACAAAGGGAAGAGAGAAGCTGGCGAGGTGGTCGAGACTCCCGAGACGATAGAGGTGGTTGGGGCCGTGATGGTGGCCAGAGTGATAGAGCTCCAATGCGAGATGGCTGGAGGGATCGAGCAGGTCACGAAGGGGGGATGAGAGACCGACAAAGGGAAGACACTTGGAGTAGAGGAGGAGGTCGTGATGAGCCTGGCTCAGACCGAGGCGGGGATAGAGGGGCCTGGGGCAGAGACCGTGAGGACAGTTGGAGATCCAAAGGTCCATCTAGAGATGACAGGGGAGGACCAAGTGATGGGGGAGGGGCATGGAGAAGGGAGGACCGAGGTGGAGACCGTGACTTCCGTCGCGGTGGGGATAGTCGGGACTTCCGTCGTGGAGGTGACGATCGAGACTTCCGCCGAGGGGGAGACGATCGTGATTTCCTCGCCGAGGGGGCGATGATCGTGACTTCCGCCGAGGAGGGGACGATCGTGACTTCCGCCGTGGGGGTGATGATCGTGACTTCCGCCGTGGGGGTGATGATCGTGACTTCCGCCGCGGGGGTGATGATCGTGACTTCCGCCGTGGGGGTGATGATCGTGACTTCCGCCGTGGAGGTGACGACCGAGACTTTAGGCGTGGAGGAGATGATAGAGGTGGCGAGAAACCCCGGCGTCGTGAGGATGCCCCTGCAGACAAAGAGGAAACATGGAAGAGAGGAGGTACGTATTTGATTAATGCAGGAATGAAATTGAAGGTCAAGGTCATTAAACCTGGAAGTTCTTGTAACCCAGTTTATACATCTTAACATGCTGAAGACACGACTTCCCTTTCAAAGGTATATACAAGGTTAGGTGTGACTTAATGTGATGAAGGTAAGATAATCCATGATGTTTCTAATGGTATTTGACAGTTTTTCGTAAGATGCAACAGCCTTTTCAGTTCAGATTGTATTTATAGTAAGTTCCATGACACCACATGGGCTGACATTTCTCAGAGTGAATTGTAGGTGGGAATAGAATATGATTTATCTTGTCAAGTATTTCGTCATGTGGTATGGAAATGGTGTGATGAATCTGGAAGTACCCATGACTTTGTTACTGAGCTAGCTAAAGTTAGGGACATTCTGTTGTAAAGTTGTACTACATTTGGATAATGTGGATCAGTAATAAAGGATGTACATAAATATTGCAAGGTTCTGTAAAACTGAAAAATCATTAAATAAGAAGGAATATGCATTGTCCAAGCTTTTATTTCATGACAGCTGTAAGATCCAAACATTGGTGTTTGAGTTTAGATGTTTGTCAGGTCAGCTGATTTGGTGAAATCAAAATGTTTGCGCAGAACAAAAACCTCTGGTGGTGAAAGCACAATGTTTGCGCAGAACAAAAACCTCTGGTTGCCAAGACAAAGCCGCAGCTTGCACTGTTATCCTGATCATTTGTTTGCCATTATCAGCTGGTCAACCAAGAAAATATACCGTTACTTAAATATCACCATTATAGCTTCTTTACTTTTACGTCCTCCCGGAGAGCGGAAGGTCGCGGGTTCTATCCCCGGCCGCGTCATACCAAAAGATGTTGAAATATGGTACTTGTTGGTCCCTGCCTGGCGCTCGGCATTAATGGGTACAACAAGGACTGGTCGGTATAATGTGTCTGAGTGGGGTATTCATGCTTCACTGGGACATGGTATCTCAGTGGGCTAGCACTATAAAACCAGCATAAATCTTGGCTAGTACAAGCAGCCGCACATACACATACACACGCATGCACGCAGTCATATGAGCGAAATATTCTCAAGCACGACGTTAAACCCAATTTCACCTCACCTAAACTCTTTGCTTTTACGCTGTTTTTAGTCCAAGATCTGTTCCTTATAAAGTGCTGAGTAGTATGGGGCAGTGGGGTAGCATAGTGGGTAAAGCGTTCGCTTTACCCAAAGACCCTGATTCGATTCCTCACATGGGTTGTATGTGTGAAGCCCATTTCTTGTGTCCGCCACTGTGATGTTGCTGAAATATTGCTAAAAGAGGCGAAAAATAAACTCGCTCACTGAGTAGTGTGTTTCAGGATGTTAAATTACGGGTACTCAGGAAAATGTGGTGATAGCGCTGCCTTATGTTTTGTATGTTGTAACACCTTTCTTATTTTATCTCCTTTGTAACTGTATGTTACCTTATTCTATCAGGTGAAAATCATGCTCCACCAGCCAGGGAACGACAAATGGAGAGCGGAGGTAGGTTGTCCTGGATGTCAAATATTTAGATGTTTGTGTTTACGACTTCAAGTTGTGGATATCATTTTAGCATTTGCTGATGGCATTCAACCCATGAAGAACCGGGTTTGAATTGGTCATCAGCATCCCATGCTCGGGTGGTCAGACCGCCGCCATATAGCTGGAAAATTGCTGAGTGTTGCATTAAATAACTAGCAAACAAAAAACAAACTGATAGCATTCAGGGGCTTGGTGTGAGTGATATTTAATCTCCCAGTAGGAAAGCTATAGCGATCAGCATGTGGCTTCGTATGTCTGCCATCTGTTTTCTGTTGCTGGAGCAGAACTCCAAACCACTGAATTTTTCTACATGAACCTAACTATACAAATCAGTCAACTGGTGATTTTGGGTGATTGGAGATAGTGAAAAATATTGAATACGGATTTTTCTTCACTTAACCGAAGATATACAATGGCAAGGAAGCTTCATTTACAAGTTGTACCAAAATTTGAGATATGTCATCTGCCTTGCCGTGGATGTTGATGTCATGACTATGTCGGATGTGTCTGTTTCCAGGTGGCCAAAAGGAGCAGGAGGATGATGGCTGGACGACAGTCAGATACTGAAGAAGTGGACGAAAGAGTCTTCATGCAAAATCTGAAGAGGGCTGCAAAAACGTTGTAGAAATGTTAATATTGATGCAATTGGATGTTTTCCTTAACATTTTATGTGGGGGAATTGGCTTTCTATTGGAGTGGTGTTTATGAGACGGTCAATTGTGAAATAATTAGTTTGACTTAATATTTAACTCTGCATCTGAAAGGTTTAATGATCAGACACGCTTGTTAACCATCATCAATATATACTTGCATAAATATATGATGTATTAAGTGCTAATTTGCCTCTCTGATTTTTCCTTTTCAAAGATTCTGGCATTATATTGTCCTCAAGTCATGAATATATGTTATCTGAAAATTGGAAAGTATAAATAAAATTAGTACAATTAATATACTTTGTTTTGTTCTAAAATGCCACAGGGGCTCTGGGGTAGCCAAGTGGTTAAAGCGTCCGCATGTCAGTTCAAAGACCCGGGTTTGATTCCCCACATGGGTAGAACGTGTGAAGCCCATTACTGTGTCCATTGTGGTATTGCTGGAATATGGCCAAAGGCGGTGTAAATCCAAACCTCACTCGTTCAAATATAAGCCACTGTATGGAATAGTTGATTGAGTGTATGACTGGACAGCAGATTGTTGGTCATTTGATTAGGCCACATTGTCTGCAAAGGTTATTATGATGGTACTTTTGTCAGCATCCTGAATCCTGACTGGCGTTCAGCATTGCAGGGATGAAACAAGATCTGATGACATAGTGTCAATGTACTGTGACTGAAGTATCCATGTTAATAATGGACATCTATGAGTGAATTAGTTTAGTTTTACGCCGCACTCAGCAATATTCCAGCTATATGGCGGCGGTCTGTAAATAATCGAGTCTGGACCAGACAATCCAGTGATCAACAGCACGAGCATCGATCTGTGCAACCGATGACGTGTCAACCAAGTCAGCAGCCTGATAACCCGATCCCGTTAGTCGCCTCTTACGACAAGCATGGGTTACTGAAGAATATTCTAACCCGGACCTTCACGGGTCGGACATCTATGAAATGCCGGTATCCACGCTCTTAAGCACGTTTAAGGCTCTAAGACATTACCCAGGTTAACCCAAGCTGCCTGTAAGGCGCTGGAAGGTTAAGTCATTTGATTTATCCCACAGGTTAGATCAGAACAGGAGATAGAATCCACACCTGTTTCTCTCTGACGTTCTATCCACTGACCCACGAGAAATGAGGTTATAGTTTGGTTTGGTTGTTTACGCCGCACGTATCAATATTCCAGCTATATGGCGCATTCTGCAAATAATGGACTCTGACAAGATAATCCAGTGGTCAACAGCATGAGCATCAAACTACACAGTTTCTATACGATGACGTGTGAACCAAGTCAGCGAGCCTGACCACCCGATCCCGGTAGTGTCCTCTTCCGACAAGCATGGGTTGCTGAAGACCAATTCGAACCCGGATCGTCACGGGTAAATAAGGTTATAACATACCTGAATGAATATTGATTGAATGATTGAGTTGAGTTTTACGTCGTATCGGCATTATTTCATTTAGCGACGAGACCAAGTCTGCATAGATGCGCATTGTAAGTACAATGTTTAAAAGAGTTTTTTAAAAACATATTTATTCAGTCCATTTTTATTTAAGAAAATAAAAAAGTCACAGCGCCAACATGAATAAATAATCATCATATATAAAAAACAACAGTCAATAAAGATATGAAAATAATAGAACAAAAATGGTACAGATGTACGGATAAATATATAAATAAATTCATGAACAAAACGGACGGTTGTAGTGGTGGTCTGGTGAACGTTACACGTTGTTTTCTTCCTTCTATGCCTCAAAGCTTACTTCGATTGCTGCAAAAACCTTCTTGACATCTCGCATGATGACGTAGTTCCTTGCGTCAATCTGGGTTGTATCTATGAGATTCCTGACGATCGTGGGCATGATGTCACGAGACACATGTGCAGTAACGCTACGGCCTGGCAATATTGTGTGCAACATACACAACATTTCAACGTTTTTCTGTTCGAGGGATCGCATTTTGTCGGAGTAGGCACTGGCATCAAGGTGAGCAGCTTCCAGGAAGACTCCGATCTTTGACAAACGTTCGATTTCCTTCCTGACCATGTCGTCGATCTGAAGTAGAATATATTATCATCAACATCAGGGTATTATCGCCCTTGTGTTAATTAAGGTTGTGTGTTTCACAAATAAAACGTGATTATGGAATTCCAGGATAAGTGTAGAACTGTAAACTAATCATTGCCATGATTTCAGTCTTTTAAAACATTTTCTGCTGATTTGCATGAGTGAAAACAAATGAAACGTGTCTGTGATATTGTGAAAAAAATGTTTAGGAACATCTAAAATTATTTTTGTTCACATTTTTGCTTGCAAAGTAACATTTTTCCATTTTCTGTTAACACATAGCAATATCAATCGCCAAAACGCAGCAATATTCAAGCAGTATTTACATCAATTTCACATGTAGAATGATCTTATAGGGTATAAAGAGAGCATGGAAGACATGATCTGGTACACAAGTACGAGAAATATGCCACGATTAACAGCTGAAGGGAGAGAAAGAGCCATTGGGATGGGGTCGACATACAATGCTGTTGCCAACGCCCTCGGATGCCACCGTATCACGGTTCTAAGACTTATTCAGGGCTTCAGACAGATTTGGATCACCGTAGACAGACCAAGAAGTGGACGTCCACGCATCACAACGCCAGCTGAAGATAGGTACCTCCGTCATTAAGGAAGGAGGGTAGCGTTTCTTTTGGCGTTTAGTGTAGTAATCACTAAACCACTCATATTAATCTGTCAGGATATGCAGCACTCTCAACCACACACAAACTCATTCAGCAGTCAGATGGTTATTCATATTTATGAATCTCAGACAGAGGAAGGAAGAGGAAGATTTACTAAACGCCCACAACGTGTTATTTTTGGACAATGAAAGTCGTTTATTGGATATCCAATATATCTTCTATAGTACAGCTCCATCTATTCATGGTCCGTATTCGACCTTCATTTGCCGCCAGTGACCCAACCTGGAGTCCCTCAAGTAGGCAATGAACCTTTCGTGCCCAACACAGTAATCCTTCACACCTACAACTTACCTGTATTCCAGATGTAAATGACCCATCTGTAACGGGGAAACCTTCCAAAGGGGGTTGAGAGTCAAGGTATTTTCGAAGATCTGAGCTGATTCCGTTGCTCTACAAAAAAGACCAGTTTTATAATGATAATGTCATCAAAGCAATTCAATTTTTTGTGAACACCAGATATCATCGCTATTTGACCTTGATTCATAAACACATTCTTATAGTACTGCCGTCGTTAAAAGGTGTAATTTAGTATTGTGCATGAATCATAACACTTACTATTGCCAAGATTAAGGAGTCTATTTGATCCATCGCTTCACGGGACATACGTTCGAGGGACAACAACCCTTCAGTGATTGATGGAGATGAGCTGCTGGGGTGATTCAGAGACAGGCCTGAGTCCGACTCGCCACCACACGGGTTCACCCAGGGACCGTTCGCACTTGGTACCGGTGCAGCCACACACATCGAAATCAGTTGTGTGGTAACTAGCACGGCTGAAAAAAAGGAAAAATAGGTGGTTGCAAATACATATCAATATATATATTTTCAAAACAACAACACAGTAATAATTATAACAAACATAAATTATATATTTTAGATATATAATTTAATAATATAATTGTCGAAATAGGGATATGGAGGCTAGGTGTAACGTCGTACTTAAGAATATTACGCTCATATGACGACGTGCATGCGTGTGTGTAGGGGTGCCAGACTTAAGCTGGTTTTATAGTGTTAGCTCACTGATATACCATTCCTCAGTTAAGCATGAATACCCCACTCAGACACATTATATTGACTCTAAGCCGACCAGTCCTTGTTGTACCCATTAATGTCGAGCGCCAGGCAGGAACCAACAAGTACCATGTTTTAACGTCTTTTTGGTATGACGCGATCGGGGATCGAACCCGCGACCTGCCTCTCTCCGGTCGAACGCTGTAACCACTACACCACGGAGGCGGTGTAGGGACATGGAATGATGATAACAAAATAGTTGGATCTATCTTCGGACGTCGAAAGAGGAATACGAAATATTAATCATAAATTCTTTTCAAAGATTAGTCTTTACAGCCCAAAATGGTATGTTTTAGATTCCGTGTGAGACTTTTGAACAACATTTATGGCTTCGTTTGCATATCAGCCCCAAACTAAAAGTACATTATTATATATTTTAACCCCCAAAACGTGTTTTCTTTTACATTCAGACATTCAATGATTGAGAGAGAAAACTGATGAAAGATTATTAGGATGATATAAATTTCAAACTGAACTGGGGTGGTGGGATAGCTTATGGTTATTTAAAGTGTTCGCTCGTCAAGCCGAAGACACGGATTCGATACATGGGTACAATATGTGAAGCCCTATCTGGTATCCCCCCGCCGTGATATTACTGGAATACTGCTGACAGCGGCATAAAACTAAAATCACTCACTCACTCAAACTGAACTGGACTCACCCGTGGCGTAGAGAGAGCTATATGCCATCAGATTATTCATTGAAGACAAGTGTTTTTGAAGTAAAGTAGTCGCCGCTACTGAATCTGTCTTCTGAACCAAAGGTTGTATCGTGTTATATTTATGCCCAATATTGGGAATATTTTCAGAAATTTTAATGCCTTTAGAATCTATAAATATTATGAGGTGATCGAACCCTTGTAATTTTTGGTATATTCATTACGTAACATACGCCTCTGCGGTTTTAGAAAGACAGTGATTCAATCTCGAATCGCAACGCACAAACATCAAAGAAATTCATATACATGTATTCGGAGTCAGCTTTAAACTACATCCGGGACCTAGTGACGTCATTTCAATGACACTTTATGTTTAAAACGGGCATAAAACTGTCCGTAATTATTTCTGTGCATCCCACTTTCCGCCTAAATTTGTTTCCCGGTTTAATGAAAATATCACTGATATCAATCGTTCCCTACACTATAGAAATTTATTCCCATGATGCAATAAATTCAGATGAATTCTTGCACACTCATTAAAAAATCCCTGGTTGACTTGATCTTTCTCCATTAATATTTATTTATAAACTGTCTCCGGAGACAAAACATAATACATTAACTAAAGGACTATTTTCAAGTGATCCAGAATTAAAATAAAGTTAAACAATTAAAATAAGTTCATTAGTGAAAGACATATTATATTTTATAGTATTTTTTCAACCATACGCTGTTTTCTCGGTAAAGGTTAGAGATGCGACACACAAAAATTGTCTGTATTTACATGTATATCGTGGTTGGTGTAGATTAGGGTGGAATCCAAATAATATTCTGGGGTTTTCCCTTTGACCTCCTCCATATTTTCACTTGACTATTTTGACTTGTTACATAACAATGAAAAATATAATAATGGAAATATATATAGCGCTAAATCCAACCACTAAGTGGGTGCTCAAAGCGCTACAAAATAATAATAATGTTTGAATAGAGTTAATAGTGCAATGAAAAGAGAAGCGTTTTAAGATGTTATTTGAACGCAGCAAAAGATGGGGACAGTTTTAAGGCGAGGGGCAGTTCATTCCACAGCGATGGAGCACAAACACTGAAAGAACGCTTTCCATAAGAGGCCAGTCTATAAGAAGGAGTTTTCAAAAAGAATCTGCTTTCAGATCGCAGTTGTCTGGATGGTTTGTAGGGGGTTAGCAGTTCACTTAGATATTCTGGTGACATGCCTTTGAGACTCTTGAATGTGACACAGAGTACTTTAAGCACTATCCTCGCCTCAACCGGAAGCCAGTGTAATGACTTCAGTATCGGCGTAATGTGAGAGTACTTTGGGGCACGTGTAACGATTCTTGCCGCTCCATTAGTTCTGTGTCTTTGCAGGTGAGTATTATTTTCCCTAGGCAAATTTAGTACTTTTTTACCAGTCCTTTTTTTCCAAGGACTTTTTTTTTCCGAACCCTGGCATGGTCACCAACAATGCTCGTCTTCTGGTACTTGAGATGTCGATGGGCGAGCTGGCTAAGGCGCCAGGCTAGTGATCCAGCGAGGTTGAGGTGTCGGGATCGAGCCCACCTGTGACCGGGTGTAAAAACCTTGGATTCAATTTTGTGTGCAGACTCTTTCAGTGTTGTCACAACCCCTAGTGTACAGTACACATCCCTGTGCACTTAAAAGAACCCACGAATCCGTTGGTATATAACCAGATGGTGGCCACATGAATACGTGCAAACACCTAGGTGCGGGTACAGCAACGGACAGTAAACTTGGACAAAGCAATGTGACTATGTGTCCAGTCCACCAAGATGTGAATGGGTACTTTGTTAGGATGGGAAAGCCACATTAACTCGGTGCGCCTAGTGGCTGCAAGAGTTGTATGATCCCCAGGGAGTTGAGACTGATAATACGATGTGCCGTTCAGATTGACATTCAATGATCGAGGGGAAAAATACCAGCGCCCTGAGCATGCACTAGTTGGCTGGATATGTGTGAGAGAGAGAGAGAGCTGCACAATTATACATTTGTGGGTACGAAGACTGAAAGAAATTATTTCGGTTTTTTCATGGCAAAAAGTAGATATTTTGCAAGACAATTTATAATATAAGTATTCTTTGATGTAAACAACTCAGCTAATTTCACTTCAGATGGATATATGTGATAATATTTAGGGAGGATACATTTCTTAATTTCCTATAAAAAGGGCATTCCAGGCAAAAGTGATATTCATTTTCTATATTAGGTATGATACAAAGCGGGCACAGGCGATCCTCCCTTTTAAGACCTTAATGTCTACCGTACTCTATCATTAAATTGTGGTTTGAGCAACGAAATCTACCTAAGAAGATTCGAAACTGTTTTACACTAACACTATCGATATAGAACTCAAAAGCTACACCTTCTTTGAGCCTGCGATAAAAATCCAATTTCGAAACAAGTATAATACGAGATGACCACAACTGGTTATCTATATCAATACATCTTTGCCTAAATAATGATATGAAAGTAGAGATATTTCCAACACTTTGACTGGCACACACATTGCCAAAACCATAACTGTACAAAAGAGATTTCACCTTAAAAGCCCAACAATCTATACCTTTTTCAGCAAGACAATACTGATACTCATATACCTTATTTAAGATTACATTGCTACATAATATCCTATATTATGATTATATGTTTTACAGATTAAAGATGAAAATGCAGCAGAGAGGGTTCGAGAGATCCTGGCACAGTCAGGCTGGTAAGGCTCATCATCAGCTCAGGGCCCTTGCCCCCTCTACACGCAGCCCAGACAGCGAATGGGACTTCTCCCAGGAAACGCTGCCTAGTCGAACCCACCAAGAACCTTCCGGAGAATATGAAGGCTACTCAACACTGCAGCCTTCTGCATTACCCAGAGTGTCAGAAGGGCTGTGCTCCCGGTGGAGAACCTGGGCACTCTCCTGATCTGCGCCAAGAGATCAGGAGGTACCAAACCAAGGGCACCGAGAACAATGGGGAGCCTGACTGACGACAGTGTACTTGGGATGCAAGCGAGACATTTCAAAGGCAAGGTCCGTATATCTATCATGCTTTTCCTGAGTCTTGTCAATCACATTGGTGTCAAAAGGGGCAGAAAATTCAATGATATAAATATATTCATTGGCTTTATCAAAAAGGACAAGATCAGGTTTGTTGGCAAGAATTCTTCTGAGGTTGTATATGGGCCTATTCCACAGAAGTTTGAAAGCATCATTTTCCATGACGGCCTGGACATGTTCAGGTTCGTACCATGGATGGACCTCAGAGTCACAGGCATGGCGAAGATGATAGTAGAAACAACAAGCCATGCCATCATGTCGTTTAAGGTATGCTGTTTGTGCCAAGGAAGGGCATCCACTGACAAGGTGTTGGACAGTCTCTGTAAATTCATTACACAGTCGACATTTCATATTGATATTTTCTTTAAGAATCACATTTTGGCGATTACGTGTGGGAAGTGACTGGTCCTGAGCAGCAAAAAGGAAGCCCTCAGTTTCACATTTGAGACCAGCCGACTTCATCCAGGCGAAGGAGTCGGTGGGATTGCTATTCTGTTCCACACACTGCATGTACACACGATGCAAAGGCTTCTCAGAAAGCCTCTCCACAAAAGACCGACTCTGGGCAGACTTGATGAAGGTCTTCACCTGGTTTACTCCCATCGCTGTACTGTCCAACAGTACATCGCCATCAACAAAATCAACCTCAAATTTCAGATTCTGTCCAACAACTTTGGCACGCTTAAAATAGCTGTGGAATTCCTTGCTTTCATCATGAGTCTTGACATGCATAACCAGAGGATCATCCGATAAATAAATATGTGCAAAAGTACACAATAAAATTGTATCATGAAGAGCCTCCACATTAATCAAGCCCCGACCTCCAGAATTTATTGGCATATATACACGGTTGAGAGAGGAAAGAGGGTGGTGGGCTCTGTTATCAGACATGATCCTTCTGGTCAGGCGGTCAAGACTCTGGATGTCTTGTTTTGTCCAATCAACTACTCCAAAGGAATAGGAGAGGACTGGCACAGCAAAAGAATTGGTGGCTTTGACCTTGTTTCGAGCATTTAGCTCTGAGCTTCAGATTTTCTTTAAGCGAGATTTGTACTTGGCCCGAAGTTTTTCTTGAATTTGGGCATTCTGGAGCTTGTCTCGAACTTGCATTCCAAGATAGGTGTAGACCTGATTTTACACAAGATGCTCAATAACTCCTCCCCCCTGTAACTTGACCGATCCACCATGAACTACCTTGCCACGTTTCAGATGAAGAGTATTACATTTGTCAAGTCCAAATGTCATGCCAATATCATTAGAAAAGGACTCGACAAGGAGAATCTGTTCTTTCAAATTGGTATCTCCTTTGGCAAGGAGCTCGATGTCATCCATGTAAAGGAGATGAGTAAGTGGTGTTGGGGATCTGTGATGAGGAGGTCCGGGATTGTAACCCTCCTCTCTGTTGAGCAAAAAGCTGTTTAGAGACAAACAAAAAAGCAAAGGACTGAAGGAGTCCCCCTGGAAAATTCCCCTTCTGATTGGAATAGATTCCGAAGTCTGCACCTGCCCTTGAGAGTACATCTCAAGTAGAGTCGACCAGCAACTCATTAAAGACTTGTGTAAATCAAGTAGTCGCTCCGGGAGGTCAATACAACGAAGAGACTTCAGAATCCATTCATGAGGGACAGAGTCGTATGCTGTTTTGTAGTCAATCCAGCACATGGAGAGGTTGCGGTGATATGTTTTAGCTTCTTCCAAAATCATTTTCTGTACAAGAAGTTGATCCTTGCATCCCCAACATCCCTTTCTCGCTCCCTTCTGCTCTCTGTAAATTATATCATTAGCAGAGCAGTATGATGACACGAGGTTTGTCAACACCCTGTGAATAATTTGTATTGTGTATTCAAACATGTGATAGGGCGGACATTTTTGGGATCAGTCAAGTCTCCTTTTTGGGAAGGAGTATTGTGCGACCTTTGTAGAACCATGGAGGAACATCACCTGTGTCCACGAGAGTATTGAAGCAGTGGAGTAATGGTGTTTGGACACAGGGGAACAGTTTCCAATACCGGTTTCGAATGCCATCAGGCCATGGAGCTGTATTAGATTTGGACTTTTTGATGACACTTTTCAGGCAATCTGGTGAGATGTAACAGACAAACGACCTAGTTTCTTTCTCATGCATTGCATGGTCATACTCACGGACCCATGGTCCCTCAGGTTACAGTCGCCGGGTACAGACCACAACTGTTTCCAGAACCTTCCATTGGCATCCATGGGAGGCCGTTTATCATGCTCACCATCACCGTTTGTTTTCAGTTGCCTGTAGAAGAGTTTTTCATAATTATAAAAAGTTTATTTTGTTTGATAAATTTGTTCTTCTTTTCCCATTTTTTCTTTCTTTCTGTCCAAACCTTTAATTTTGCCTTAAGGGAATCGACAATTTGAAGAAGTACCTTTTCTTTCGTTGTCTTGTATTGTAATTTTAATTTCTTCCAAATAGCCTTTTGCCTTTTAGACATGGGATTCCCTGATGATCTTATTTAAGGCACAGCTCAATCCAGGAAACATTTCTTCTTGTTTCATTAAGTTTTACAAGAAACCGGTTTTTCCTTGGTCTTTTGTTGTTTTCATTAGATGGTTTTTCTTTGGAAACTGTGTGAAGTTCCTCCAAAGTTCGAGCGGCAGCATAGACACAACAATTCACTTCATGTCCGCAGTAAGTTTCATAGAAATAATATCATTTAATAAGTTAATTTCATTTTTGGGAAAACATTCAGTTGTTTGTTTAATTGGCCTCCGCTTTTCTAAAGGTAAATCAGATATAAATCGAATGAAACAAAATATACACAGGATTTTCGGAAAGATCTGCAACTGAGGAAGAGGAAGAGAAAGAGTGAGGTTCCGAAATTTCCGGGCCAATTGGCTCTACGCCGGAAGAGTTTCCACCAGGAAGAGGAGAAAGGTTAACGCGGACGTCCATCAGAAGTTTTGGGTCTGCTGCCACTTGAGCATTGTGCTCATGCAAAGGTTCCTGACGGGCACCAGTTGTGGGTTGAACTGGCTCACGGGGCATGAGATTTTTAAGCCGCCAGAATTGATCTCGGAGATTTTGCTCCGTCAGGAAAGCATACATGGGCATGGCATTGTCCCAATGCAGCTTAAGCGACTTGCGGTTTATGCGTGGATTATCAGGCCATCCTGTCGCTTTCGCACACTCTAGTAGGGTGGTTTTGAGGTGGTTTGACCAAATAGTCTTGATCGGGTGCTGTGCCTTCCCCTGGGGCAATTCCCATCTCCAGTATGGTTTGTCTTATTACCGGAGGAAGGCTGACTGGGCTGCGGAAGTGAATTTAAACTTTTCTCTTGGCTGTCTGTAACCCAGTGAAAAACCAGCTTCGGGGGGTCAGCCCTAACTGGGTGATGTACGTTCAGTTCAGGGAATATAATTCCCCTATCTAGGCCCACCACGGAGAGGCGTACATCATCAGGCCCTTATTATTATTATGTTTTTCAGATTAAAGATGAAAATGCAGCAGAGAGGGTTCGGGTGATCCTGGCACAGTCAGGCTGGTAAGGCTCATCATCAGCTCAGGGCCCTCGCCCCCCTCTACACGCAGCCCAGACAGCGAATGGGACTTCTCCCAGGAAACACTGCCTAGTCGAACCCACCAAGAACTTTCCGGAGAATATGAAGGCTACTCAACACTGCAGCCTTCTCCATTACCCAGAGTGTCAGAAGGGCTTTGCGCCCAGTGGAGAACCCGGGCACTCTCCTGATCTGCGCCAAGAGATCAGGAGGTACCAAACCAAGGGCACCGAGAACAATGGGGAGCCTGACGACAGTGTACTTGGGATGCAAGCGAGACATTTCAAAGGCAAGGTCTGTATACTTATCATGCTTTTCCTGAGTCTTGTCAATCACATTGGTGTCAAAAGGGACAGAAAATTGTGCGAACAATCATCTAAATATTGTTGGCACTGACTGTTTTTGTGCGTGCAATTACCGAAACTCTATGGACCAATGATGTATGTATACTAATGTTAAAATTATGAAACGTGTTACACTGACTGTATTTTGTGCGTGCAATCATCGAAACTCTATGGACCAATGATGTATGTATACTAATGTTAAAATTATGAAACTTGTTACACTGACTGTTTATTGTGCGGGTAATTACCGAAACTCTATGGACCAATGATGTATGTATACTAATGTTAAAATTATGAAACGTGTTACACTTACTGTATTATGTGCGTGCAATTACCGAAACTCTATGGACCAATGATGTATGTATACTAATGTTAAAATTATGAAACGTGTTACACTGACTGTTTTTTGCGCGTGCAATTACCGAAACTTTGTGGGCAATGATGTATGTATACTAATGTTAAAAATACGAAACTTGTTACACTGACTGTTTTGTGCGTGCAATCATACAATAAAATTGTATCATGAAGAGCCTCCACATTAATCAAGCCCGACCTCCAGAATTTATTGGCATATATACACGGTTGAGAGAGGGAAAGAGGGTGGTGGGCTCTGTTATCAGACATGATCCTTCTGGTCAGGCGGTCAAGACTCTGGATGTCTTGTTTTGTCCAATCAACTACTCCAAAGGAATAGGAGAGGACTGGCACAGCAAAAGAATTGGTGGCTTTGACCTTGTTTCGAGCATTTAGCTCTGAGCTTCAGATTTTCTTTAAGCGAGATTTGTACTACATTTGTCAAGTCCAAATGTCATGCCAATATCATTAGAAAAGGACTCGACAAGGAGAATCTGTTCTTTCAAATTGGTATCTCCTTTGGCAAGGAGCTCGATGTCATCCATGTAAAGGAGATGAGTAAGTGGTGTTGGGGATCTGTGATGAGGAGGTCCGGGATTGTAACCCTCCTCTCTGTTGAGCAAAAAGCTGTTTAGAGACAAACAAAAAAGCAAAGGACTGAAGGAGTCCCCCTGGAAAATTCCCCTTCTGATTGGAATAGATTCCGAAGTCTGCACCTGCCCTTGAAGATGAAAATGCAGCAGAGAGGGTTCGGGTGATCCTGGCACAGTCAGGCTGGTAAGGCTCATCATCAGCTCAGGGCCCTCGCCCCCTCTACACGCAGCCCAGACAGCGAATTGGACTTCTCCCAGGAAACACTGCCTAGTCGAACCCACCAAGAACTTTCCGGAGAATATGAAGGCTACTCAACACTGCAGCCTTCTCCATTACCCAGAGTGTCAGAAGGGCTTTGCGCCCAGTGGAGAACCCGGGCACTCTCCTGAACCGAGAACAATGGGGAGCCTGACGACAGTGTACTTGGGATGCAAGCGAGACATTTCAAAGGCAAGGTCCGTATACTTATCATGCTTTTCCTGAGTCTTGTCAATCACATTGGTGTCAAAAGGGACAGAAAATTGTGCGAACAATCATCTAAATATTGTTGGCACTGACTGTTTTTGTGCGTGCAATTACCGAAACTCTATGGACCAATGATGTATGTATACTAATGTTAAAATTATGAAACGTGTTACACTGACTGTATTTTGTGCGTGCAATCACCGAAACTCTATGGACCAATGATGTATGTATACTAATGTTAAAATTATGAAACGTGTTACACTGACTGTTTTTTGCGCGTGCAATTACCGAAACTTTGTGGGCAATGATGTATGTATACTAATGTTTAAAATACGAAACTTGTTACACTGACTGTTTTTTGTGCGTGCAATCATCGAAACTCTATGGACCAATGATGTATGTATACTAATGTTAAAATTATGAAACGTGTTACACTGACTGTATTTTGTGCGTGCAATCATCGAAACTCTATGGACCAATGATGTATGTATACTAATGTTAAAATTATGAAACTTGTTACACTGACTGTTTTTTGCGCGTGCAATTGAAACTTTGTGGACGATGTATGTATACTAATGTTTAAAATATGAAACGTTACACTGACTGTTTTATGTGCGTGCAATGAAACTCTATGGACCAATGATGTATGTATACTAATGTTAAAATTATGAAACGTGTTACACTGACTGTTTTGTGCGTGCAATTACCGAAACTCTATGGACCAATGATGTATGTATACTAATGTTAAAATTATGAAACGTGTTACACTGACTGTTTTTGTGCGTGCAATTACCGAAACTCTATGGACCAATGATGTATGTATACTAATGTTTA